GACAACCATACACTGTCATGGGACAATGTTTGAGAATGAGATAGAATCACTGTCTTTTCACAAGGTACTTTATTAAAGTAAGGCAGCAATAGTATCCTTAAGCCTAGTCTCTCTTCCTCCTGCTCCACTGCAAAGTGTTTGTTTAGCACTTCTCCCAAACCATCTTCTGCCTGGATTCCTGTTATAGTTATAAGCAAAAAATACTCCTCTCCACAAATCGTCGTGATGGAACTATTACTGTAATAATATAAATGCACTTTTGCTAAAACATAGGGCTGGGCATCAGAATTGTATTGAAGGCTCACTTAAAATTCACCGTGTGAATTCAGATGAGTCACTTAAAACTACCTCTCTCACAAATACCATCACAGTTTCAGTGTCTGCCAAACCAAAGCCCATAAACATTCCATTTTAATTTACCGCTTGGAGATAGGGTTGCTCCAGAGTGCCAATACTCATACTTGTTTTTATTGTGGAACATTGTCTAGTGGTATTTTATGTAAAAGTCACTCTGATGGAGCCATTGGGTGGGTGATATGTTAGAAAATGGTGTAATGTAAGCAAACTGGCATCCCGATTTTGACATCTAGCTATACAATGTCACCAGGGCATTTCCATACAATCTATCCAGCTTCCTAGAATCATTGCCCTGAGCTTTTCAGATCCAGTTAGCTTCATCTCTCTTAGACTGGTTTAATACCCAGATAGCTCCACTGTCATCTTCTCTGAGTTCACTCCTAAACATGAGAGCAGAACCTGGCCTTACTCATTCAATCAGCAAACAGAATCAATGTTTAGTCATTAATTAGGAAAATCACCTAATCTAAACTGCTTGTTGTGATTATTATTTTGTACAAAAGTATCCATCAGGTGCTTAAAGAAAAGGGGTCTGCACTTATGAAGGAGACTTAAGGAAGATTTCCTCAGCTGATAACCAGGAGAAAGGAGATGAATGAGCCACTAGCAGCCTCCTATCACCCTCTGTCTGTATATCTTATTTATGGAGTGCTTAGCACTGTAGTATTTATAATTAATAATCCCTGTCTTGAGAAGGGCAAGAGATAGCAAAGACATTGGAAAATGCCAAAATATATCTGGTTTTGCTTCTTTCCCAACCCTATGGTTATGAGGTGGAAGGGGAGTAAACTATAGCATGTGTGTGGCCTCTTCCCAATTGTTTTTGCTGTAGAAAGTCAGGTGTGTGTATGTCAGTATTTTCTGCACAGCTGCAAGAACACCACAATATGCTTTGTGATACAATGTTACTGACATAGCAAGCTCAACTATTTAACAAAAGTTTGTCTGCTACTGGCATTTCCAAAGTAATTATCAGCAAATTACAGAACTACTGTACTCAACTACGGTTACTCAATGTCTGCCTAGCATAATATTGGCATATGGCATACCAAATACCGTTTTACATAGAGCCTTTCATACTGGTATTCCAGCAGTTTGCAGTGAAGTAAGCTAGTGTAGTGACTGTATAGACAGAAAGAGCTGCCCTAAGGCAATTAACAGAGGGTATGTCTAGACTATATGCCTCTGCCGACACAGGCATGTAAACTAGGCTACCCAACATAGTCAAAGAAGCCGGGATTTAAATATCCCCAGCTTCATTAAAATAAACATGGCCGCTGCACTGTGCCAGCTCAGCTGATCGTCGGCACAGCGCGCAAGTCAAGATGTGGATCGGTCGACAAGGGAAGCCTTTGTCGACCGCTCCAATTATGCCTCGTGAAACGAGGTTTACAAGAGCGGTCGACAAAGGCTTCCCTTGTCGACCAATCTGCATCTTGACTTGCGCGCTGTGCCAATGATCAACTGAGCCAGCACAGCACAGTGGCCATGTTTATTTTAATGAAGCTGGAGATATTTAAATCCCGGCTTCTTTGACTATGTTGGATAGCCTAGTTTACATGCCTCTGTTGGCAGAGGTACGTAGTCTAGACATACCCAGACTGCTTTACCCAAGAAGGAATGGTAAACCATTGTACCCCTTATTCTTTTCCCAGAAAGGGCAACCAGATGTTCAAGCTGAACAATCAGTAGGACTTCTATTCATCCTTTCATCCAAAGGATGGATAGCACTTGAAAAAAAATGAAGTACTCTAGAACTCAGCTTATAGGAAGGAATGACTTCTGCCTGTATCCTAGAAGCTAATATTGGCATTTCCTAAATCAGAAGTTTATGCATTCTCAGTGATATGAGATGATACCATGGGACAGAATGCTGTCATCTGAGCAATGCTATCCTAACTGCTTATATCATAAACCATGACAAAGAGTAAAAGTGTTTCCTTCTAGGTCAATAATCGTTTGCCAAGGTACTTCTAGGGGCCCTATCACTATAGGATCTGAGAATCTCTCAGACAGTAATGAATCACAACAACTCTGAGAATAGACACTGAAGCAAAGACATGAATGGCCTTTCTTACAATCACACAGGAAGTTTAAGAACAGAACTCAGATCTTCCAGCCCCATTACATTGTTTTAACCACAGACTCTTGAGTGCTTTGACCAAACTATGTGAACCAATGTCACTCATTGAATTATCAATTTAAATATATATATAGCTATAGAAAAAAAACATGAGAAAGCAAAATGATGAATGAAAGAAAAAGCATATGTTCCTGTCAAGGCTGTCTCCCACTCTGGCACTTTGAGTGCAGAAGATGGATACCTGGCAAGAGACTTTAAAATACTCTGGCACTAAAGACTTCTGCTTAAAAACTCCCCAAGGTCACAGATTCCTTGAGGGTGGGTGGCACACTGCCACCACCCAAATGCAACAAAAAAAACCGTTTCTGAGTTCTCAGAAAGATGCACTTGGGAATTTCTTTCTGTGGGGTACCCTCAAGTTCTTTAACCCTCCCTCTGGAGAGAACTTTAAAGCAAACTGTAATTTCTTAATAGCTAACTCTTTAATCTCAGGCACATGCACACAGAACCTCCAGTCTTCTAGGAAACAGGAATCAGATTGTAGTAATTAACAAAACAAAGAAAACATCCTTGGTAAAGCTTACTTGGTTGCTAGGATTTACGGAGCAACTGAAAAAAAGGCAGATTAAGAACACAGAGAATAGCCTCCCTGGGATTCAGTTTAGAAAGTTACAGTGAACAGGAGGTCGAGGGGGAAGAGAAGGGAGGATAAGTGCATGGGCTCAGCACAACAAACCCCACAATTAAGAAAATAACCTGATCATGTCTGACTACACAGGCATGGATGTTGCTGAATATTGCATGCTTGCTTCCTGGCTTAATTCATGTCTGTAGTTCTCCTCTGGTTACACAGACTGAAACAGGAAGATCAGTGCTTGCCATTCAAAAAAACTACAGTGTTGTCACTGGCTCTCCTGGCTCCCTGCCAACACTTCCTGGAGACTCTCAAGGACCCACTGTCTCAGGGTTTAATGCTTACTGGAAATTTAGTTAGCTGAATGGCTGTAATATCCTGAAAAAGTTAGTAGTACCCCTCCCATTCATCATAGCACCAGTTATTTTCCCAACTGTGAACAAGGCGGTGACAGACAGGTAGTTGGATCTTTTTTCTAGGGTCTAATTCTGAAGTCTTTAGAACTGCACAAACAGCTGAGGGCAGATTTTGGTACAGGACATCTATTTTAAATGTCTGGTTATCCTAAAGGAAAGTGGATTGGGACATTTTTGTATCTTCCTACCAAGGTACACTAGCTTTAAATTGATATATAAAAGAATTCTCATTGGTAATTAAAAGAACGGAGAGTGGCAGCAATATTTTAACAATGAGCTCACTAAAAGAAAAAAAATCCCTTCAGGCTTGGAGACATTCTGACTGACAGGATTTATTTGCAGACATTAGGGGTGAGGGATTAGCATATTTCTTTACTTTCCCATTTAACAGACAAGGTCTCCTATAACCTTTATCTAGAGATGAGACCCTGATGTATGCTAAGTTTCTCTCTGATGGAAGTGCATATTTGCTCCTAACATACTGATAGGATAGGCAAGGGCTCCTAACCTGTGTCATTTGAAGAGAAGGGAGACAGTTTGGAGGGTTCAGGAAAACTGTACTATTTTGAAAATGCCTCTCTCTCCTCCCCCCTCCCAATCCAGTCCATTCTAAAGGAAAATATTTGCTCTTCAAAAGTATTTTAATGAACTGCTAGGATAAGGACTTCTGGCAGGGATAATAATTTAGTATCCAAAGATGGGGAAGATACCATCAGAGATGGTAATTCTCTTAACTTTCCAATCAAGTTAAGTAAGCAATTTTGACTAGAGCTCCTTAAAGCCCCCTAACCAAGATGTTAGTGAAAAAGACTGACATGACCCTCTTGAGTATAAATTGAAGTCTGTCATTTTCTATTACCCTTCTATAATAAGTTGGCTGATTGTCTGAATTCCAACTGTGTCACTTATATTTAAGATTGGGATTTCAACTGCACATTCATAGGCTGTCTCTGAGCTCCAGCAGGCATATGAAGGAATCCTAGAACCTGGGGCAAATGGTTGCTTTTGATGTAGCAAATTACTTGGGGAAGTCATTTGTTTTTTAAATAGCACAAAAGTTGACAATCATTTGTATCTGAGGTGGTTGCACAGGTTTGTACACCCACATTTTAAGGTCATTAGTAAATACCATCTTTAATCTTTCAGAAAGGGGCATGGCTAGGAATGAATCAAGCCCTACACTGACCCAAGCAGAAAAGTCAAAGCTGCAGCCTACATTTTGGGTCAATATAAGTGGCAAGTGTGCTTATGTATTGTGAAAACCACCCAGCAAAACTTAGGGAAATACATATGTGTATAATTATCAGGTAAAGTACCCACAAAACACAACATGAAGCCATGTGGACTGGGCATTTTCCTCTGTTTTCTTATTAAGTCATCAGAAAGCGGTCAGAATGTTCCAATGATCTGAATCTATTCTCCTTAAAAATTTGTCACTTGAAATGCTATATAGATATTTCCTTATGTCTCTTTTTCAAAGTTAAATATTTGCCTCCCCCACCCTTTGCAGCTGTAAAGATCATAGATCCACCAGAATCATCAGGTGATGATATTTTACCCAAAGACAGAACTTTGCCTGTCTTTATTGATTCAAGTGACAACTCCATCTCCCTGCCTGAAGAAGCCACCATGGCCATATTACCCACTGACCCAAACACACTACTGCCAGCAGTGACCAGTCCATCTCACAGCCACTCCATTATCATAGACCAGTCCTTTGAAATAACAGGTTCACCAACACCAGCAGCTGAGAGCGGCATCACTACTGGCTTCGAAACAGGAGTGCAGGATATTGCTGCAGAACTGGATGGAGTCAACCCAATGAGCACAGCAACAATGGATGAAGTGGAGTATGGCAGCGGATATATTTCCGTGTCGGAGAGCCAACCAGCAGAATCTACCCCAGCTCCTTCACTGAAGTATGTGACCACTAGCTTGATGACAACAGCAGCCAAAGGCAAAGAGCTAGTGGTTTTCTTCAGCCTGAGAGTAACCAACATGCTTTTTTCCGATGACCTCTTCAACAGGAGTTCTCTGGAATACAGAGCACTGGAGCAACAATTCATGCAGCTGGTGAGTAAAAACAGATTGTCTGTAACGTACAGTATTCACGCACACATTAAAGAAAAAAGATTTTCCTTGTTAGCTTATATTATTGCTCCCCTGGTTAGCAAAAGCAATGAGAAGAGACAAGCATCTATGATAGTGACTACAAGGGGCATTCAGATTGTGATTTATTCTGACCAGATCACTATGATAAGGTCAGGCTGGAAAATACAATTGTATGAAGTAGAACATAGTGTTGGACCCGATCTTCCAGTTTAATAAAACACTTTGAACTACTGTAACAAGTAAGTTTTTTTAGGCTCAAATGCAGGCTAACAACATGTAGCAGTGGTTTACAAAGGAAAATACATGTAAATAAAAGACATCTAAAATATTTATCCATGCAAGAAACTACGCACATTATTGTTGACAAGTAATTTTAATTGGTAATTTTGAATCTGCATTTCAGTGGTACGGCAACACTAATTACATCTAAGAATTGAGTCTTTAGGCTGAATTTATTATCAATCCTTTTTTAAATCATCATGAGGTATCAGAGAATGTGATTAGATATAGATTTTCCAAACAGATCACTAGAAAAGAGTAGCATGCCTATTATGTCATGTTCTAACTTTCTTGGATGGAGCCTTTAAAAGTAATTGAAGCTGACTTTTTACTGAAGTGATTTTTCTTTATTCAGACACTCCCAAAACACTATGTGTTTCATTACAAGGAAACTAGCATCCATGTACCTCAGTGCATTACTAAGAAAGATGCAAATACAGAGACTAATCAAGGTAAACAGAAAGCTGGACTTGATAGTTAAGCACCAAGGAAATAAGTGGATGATTCATGTAACAGTTAATGAAAAGTGAACATAAGTGAAATAAATAACAGTCAGGTATTGACAAGGGATTTAAAGTAAAACAACTTCCTGTTTTGCAGCTGCTTCCATATCTTCAATCCAACCTTACAGGATTTAAGCAATTAGAAATACTTAACTTCAGAAATGGAAGCGTGATTGTTAATAGCAAAATGAAGTTTGCTAAGACAGTTCCATACAATATCACGGAAGCCGTGCACTGCGTTTTGGAAGATTTTTGCGATGCTGCAGCCCAGCGCCTCAATTTGGAAATTGACAGCTACTCTCTTGATATTGAACCAGGTAAGATTGTGTTACTAAAATGTAAAAAGAAAACAGCTGACCTTTCACAGCTTTGATACAATTTATGGTTTACTCAATACAACTAAAAAAAAGAGAGAAATTTCTATTTTATAGACTATTAATATTGGGCTTCCAGTATTGTAGACTGCCTATGATCTTTCATTTAAATAGGAAATTATGGCAACCAGAAGTAATTTGGAGATACTCAAACTTTCCTGACTACAGCAATATTTATCAGGCTATAGACTAGGGATGTAATGGGAGATGCTTAACTGGTGATGCTTACTGGTTCTGCTTAACCCGGGGGGTGAGGGCGGTGCAGATCCTAGCCTCCTGTGGGTAGGGGCTACTCCATCCATCCAGGCTAGAGTGCCCCCCCCCTTTAATTGGTTAAACATCATGCTTAATTGGTTAACCGATTAAATGGGATTTTACATGCCTTCTATCCACATGCTTTCAAAGTCATCAGCAGTTATTGGAACACATTCCATCTCATAAAACATCTCCTCCAGACTTTGTTTCCTGACATGCTCATTCCTCATTTTGCACCTTAAGTTTAGAATACTATGCCACCAGTTTCTCAACTACTTTCCAAAACCTACATAAAAATTGAAAATCACCTCAAACATACACAGGTTTGAAACATGCTTAAAATCTTTTTGAAGCAAATTCAAATAAATTCCCTTTCAATTGTGAAAATGAGCCATCTAGTGGAAACAATGTCATTACACAGCTAAAGATTTAAATAAACCAAAAATCTTAATCCTATAAACAAATCTCAGCCTTTCACAAGAGGCAGCCAAAAGACCTATCGACAGCTACACACAAAAATAAATACCACAAGAAAAAGTGCATTAGGTAAAATAAATCTTCAAGTATTTTTAATGATCTAACCAAAGTTGCAACAAATTTTCATTGTCCATCAAAAACTGTGTTAAAAGAAAATGAACCAGTACAATTCAGAAGAATACTTAACTCTAGCAGCTAAACAGTGACAGCTTCAAATTTCTGAGATCCACAATGCTGATGTCCACAATGAGTAAAACCAGAGAACCAGAAACCCAGATCTCTTGGTACTGATACTGACCTTCGGCACCACAACAGAAATCATGTACATGAAACTAAAAATGTATAGTTGAAACTGGAAATTTACAAAAGGAGATGAGAATAAGGCAAGTGTTAATATTTTAATCAATGAACTACTTAATGAATCAGATGAACAACTCTCATGATCTCTCAAACACCTACTAAAGATTTTAGTTAAAATAGCCACTCAGGAAACATACGTTCATTTAATGAGCTAAAATGAACAGGGGAATAAGGAGGAGGAGTGGAAGAGCTTAGAAGGTCAGTTTTCATGGGACTAGATTTAATGGTAAAGGACGAGAGAAGAAAAATATAGCATCTGACTCAGAAAGCAGAATTGTCTCTAACAGAATGATCTCCCATGATTCTCCATAAGGCATTATATACACTTTAAAGAATACATTCCTTTAATATTGGGGGAACAAGCAATATGAACTGATAACTAGGGAGAGAGTCAAATGTAATCTGAGATGAATGCAAAATACAAGGCCAGTTTTCACACCACCAATTACAAAAGAGATTCCAACACAAATTGTATCTTTGCAAGCAAATACCTCTGAACCCAGGAGATGAAGATGTGGAGAAATAAAATGAGAAAGTGAAAGCTCTCCATGGAGCTGTGGAAAAGGCAAGGAAAGAGTAAATATTGACTATACAACATTTGCAGAGAGATGCAGCTGAGGGAAATGAACCACTTGCAGTACTCACCATTCCTGTGTATAAATCACAAAGTGGTACTGCTTCCAGCATGAAGGTAAAGTAGGATTGCACAAAATTTCAAATGCACAGTCAGGTTCCCTCTACTTAACATTCACTAGACTGCTGTGAGGAGAGCCAAATACTCCATTAACCATTAGCTTCCTGGCGTTAAGCAGAGTTCAGCTAATGCCTCGGGTCTAGGTACACATTCCACAGGCGGCCTTCAAGTCTGACACCCCCTTGGCAGTGTGGACTCCCGCCCAAATTGTCTAGACCTTGAAACAAGTGCCACATCCCCATGCATCCCCAGCAGCTCTTGCATATTCCCTAGAACAGTGGTCTCCAACTTTTTAAAGCATGAGATCACCTTTTGAATTTTAGTACAATCTAGGATCTACCTCAAACCCAAAAACCCTTGCCCCGCCTCCTTCCCGCCCCTCCTCTGAGGCCTCATCCCTACTCACTCGATCCTCCCTCCCCCATCCTCATTCACTTTTATCAAGCTGGGGGCAGGGGCTTGGGGTGCAGGAGGGATTCAAGACTGGGGCTGGGGTTTGGAAAGCAGTCTCCATTTACCACAGGTTGCTTCTGGGTGGTGGTGCAGGGGGCTAAGGCAGGCTCACCTCTGTCCTAGCCCTGCACCACTATTCCCAGCCAATGGGAGCTGCAGGAATTGGTGGCCTGGCCAGCTGTTTTATAACCTACTGCAGCCTTTTGCAGCACCCTGATCAGTCTCGTCAGATGATCACACATCCCTACTGAAAGACTACACTGCCAATCAACTTCTCCTCTGGTAAACCAGTTCTCCTTGGTAAAAGCCAATCTTTTGTCTCAGGTTTCCACCTGAATAGACAACTATTTAAGGTCTGGTCATCAACTATTGTCCTGTATCTAGTAGGTACATACTACAGGCCTGTCGACAAATAGTGAATCCCACATCCACATACAGCAGGGGTGAGCAAAAGAACCAAAGCAGGCTCTCTGCCTGTTGTAGCTCCAGGCTGTAGCTCCCTCTAGGTATAGCATGCCCCTGGCAGGTGGGAGGGCAAGACTTTGCTCATGCTGTGATAATTGGCCTAAGATTGGGTGAAGCTGTGGCATGGCCCACAGCCAAGGGCAACAGGCACATGGAGGGAACCTCCAGCTGTTTTGAGCAGCCTGCAGCTGTGGCAATCAGGGAGCCTGCCTCGAGTTCCCTTTTGGGCTGCTGGCTGGGCGCCACTTAAGATAAATGCATCCCAACCAGAGCCTGCTTCTGGAACTCTACCCTTCCAACTCCCTGCCCCACCTCACTACTCCCTCCTGCCCCAGGTCACAACTCCCTCTCAGACCCTGCACCCTTTCTTACACTCCTCCTCCCAGGTCAAACTCCATTCCTGCACTCCTATCCCCACATGACCCTGTACTCCAGTCCTATGTCCAAGGACATAACCCCCTACTTCAGCCAAACTCCCCCTCAGACTGTACATCATCCACATCCCCTACCCCAAGCTCCCTTCTGCACCTAACCTGTCCCAGACCCCTCCATAGAAAAGTACAGCCCTTGAACATTTAAAAAATCTTGGTGTGCCTTTCTCCCCCCCCCCCCCCCAAACCTCAAAAATTATTGCCTACCCTGGATATAGAGCTATTCCAAGGTACAATTTCATATCCACCACCATAATTCATAAGCAGTATATAAACAAATCCCCTGACTCATCACCTATGGAAATGGAAATGGACTGCTCTCAGTCTGGAAAGCATGTTTTTTTAAGGGCCAATTAACATCAACATGACTCTAACCTGAATCTATCACAAGTCTGATCACTTCCCTGAAAGATACTTTTAAAAGTAATCAGTGAACCTATCAACAATTCCACTGTGTCTCTAGCTAACAGAGAATGATAAATCCTTATTTCATGCTTAGGGAACAGATTTCGTGACTGATATTCCTTACTTAATATCCATCTCTTTATATATTATAAAAGTACATTTTAACCATTTTTGAAAATCCATCCTCAATTCATGTCCCACCTTTCATGAAGAGTGAACCAAGATCACAGCAGAGATGCAGTGTCATCAGGAATGATTTGACTGAAAGTGGTAGATTCTCTATTTCTTGTAGTCTTCAGAGAAGACTGGGATGCTGTTGTGGAAGATATGCTTTAATCAAATGGAAGTTATGGGCACATTACAGGAGTGAATGGATGAAATTCAATGGCCAGCAATAAGCAAGAGGTCAAACAAGATATTCTAATGGTTTTCTCACCTTAAAATCTCTACGTCTAATGCATAATTCTAATTTTAGTAATATCTATTATATGCACACTTTTTCCCTACTAGTATTTAATCAAAGTTTCAGTTTATGTTGACAATTTTATTTACTTTATTTTTACTTATAAGTAAGCTAAGACAGACACTACTGAGTCATCTAGTTAATAACTAGCCTTGTAAAATGCTGGAGGGAGGCAGGATGTCATTTTGGTGGATCCAGCTCACATTTCTGAATCTTATGTTTCTGTTGCTTACAGGCTCTTTATTGTTGTTCATTTTTTTTAAGAGAAAAATTGTTTCTGTGTGGACATTGATTCCACTCTAAGCTAAAATCCGCTTAAACCATTTCACTTCCTTTCTGCAAATGAAGAGCCAACAAATGTTGATTTACAAACCTATGCTTTTGCTACAAATTGATTTTTTAAAATTTTTATTCCAAAATTATTAATATGGTAAAGAAATGTTATTGAATGTAGACAGATTTGTCAGCCATTGCAGATATTTACTGTATTATATTGTTGAAACAACGTCTCTTTTGGTTCAAACTTAGTGCAAAGCAAAGTTCTCCATTCCAATAACAAAGCAGATGCCAAAGTGACATCTTATGAGTACCAAAGATCGATTTAAAACAGCCTTCTTAGTCTTTAATGTGACGGAAAAGCTATTCGTGGATTTGTATAGAAGTTTAGAGGTGAATGAGACTTATTGATCATTCAATCCATTTCACTATCTGCACGGGCAGACGTGAGTGCCCTCAAGCATGGCTGGGATTCTCAGTGCCACCAGGGAGGACTCAGTGTTCCATTTAACATTTCAGGCATCTCGTATGCATCTGACTGCCTCTTCATACTAGGAAGACTCATGCTGAATCCCTTGCTGGTTTTTGACGAGCGGCTGGACTGAAACCCAGCAACAGAAGGAAGCAGGACAAGGCAATCCATAGGAGAATTAGAGGTGCTTGCAGGAGGAAATATGGCTGCATGGTGGTCCTTGCTGGTCCTTGCTTCCAGCATCAAAAGACTTAATTGCGTACAGTGTCTCAATAGCTTCCCCCTTTCCAAGCCCAGAAAACCAGCAAATGGTGATGGTTTCATATACCTTATGGAGAGCGTCCTAAAATGTAAAGCATCTTACTTCCACAAAGCCATTCAAACAAAGATCACCCCAAAGAATGCCACGTCTAGCTAGCAGTGTATTACCCACAGGGACGGTGCTGTTTTTCCTTGCAAATCAGATTGCAAGCTACTTGTGACAATAATCACATTTCTTGTATATATGCACAGACGGTACTACTACTCCCCAAGAGTAACAACTAATGGAATCTGAACTTCCACATGCAAAAAAGTCTTTGTAGTTCAAACACAAAAACATGGTTCTGAATATGTGGGAAGGGAACAGCTTGTGCAAGAAAGTATAACATAGCAACTTGCTGTGCGATCTGAGAAAAGAAAAATGTACAGATTCCTTTTTTTCCAAGATATAGTCCCACTAATTGATATAGAAGGAGCTTGGCTACAGTGAATCTCTTTTGTTCTCTCTAGCTGCCACAAGTTCTGCCAAGTACCCTGGGATAATGCATCAACACATCCATTAATAATGTCTCTGTCTTATTACAGCTGATCAAGCGGATCCATGCAAATTCATGGCATGTGATGAATTTTCACAGTGCATAACCAATGAATGGACAAAAGAGGCAGATTGCCTTTGTAAACCTGGTTATGCAAGCAGAGATGGACTGCCATGCAGGAGTCTCTGTGAGATGGAGCCTCATCTGTGTGTTAATGGTGGAAAATGTGAATTAGTTCCAGGAAAAGGAGCTGTCTGCAGGTAGGTAAATTATATTATTTATTAAGTCTGCTGCATAATATAGTTCCTGAAAATTAGTCACATGAAATGCTTGGATTGAAATGACACTTTATCAGGAGTGTCAAGTGCAAGCCAGCAAGTGTAAAATTCTATAGACACTTCGACCTAGGTTGTAGTACTGTTACCTTGACAAAGTACCTTACACCATGGGACTATTTGAGTTGTCCAATACAGGTTGAACCTGTCTAGGTCTGCACTTTTGGGACCTGACTGGTGCTGAACAAGACAATTTGACTGACCACGGGAGGTCAGTATTGTCTAGAGGCATTGCCAGCACTTCCACTAATTACTGTGCTCTTAGCAGACATTTAGGGTAAATTAGAGCTAAATAACAGCACAGAATACTGAGAGCCAGGTCTGGTGACTATAAACAAATTTTATGGGACCATGAGAAACTTAGCCACACCCATGATAAGTGAATATCCGGCTAACTAAAAACCTGAATGTCCATCAGAGCATCATAGTCTAGTTCTTCATTAGAAAGAGTGCATTTATTAGAAAGAAAACATTGACCTGCGTCACAAATACCTTGAAACGATCAATTGCTCATTCCAAATGTAACTATTCTGAAATTTTGGAAAACCAAATAACATCTGTTCACATTTTAGGCTATTGGTAAAATAGGTATATCTGCGAGGAATTAATTTTTGTCTGGGCTGTGTAAAATATATGTAAAATATGATAGCAGCTGTCTATTACAAGGCATATAATGAGACAGTTAAGATCTTTGCATGAACATACACCCTGCTGCCCATATTGTTCAAAGTAACCAAGAACATTAGGATTTGATCAGTTGGGAGAGCATGATGTTTCTTACAACTCTTTGAGACTGTGACTGGACACCATAAATATTTCCACAGGGAGCAAATTCAGAAATGCAGACTAATTACTGAGACTGTCATGCCATTCAGACACATACATTTTCCCTTGTGATCAAGAGGAGAATAGACTGTACAGAGGGCCAAAGAGGATGAGGCTCCCTGGACATAAGGATATTACCTAGAAGGCCCAGAACCTTGAGTGCCACTCAGCAGTTTATTGATTGCCATGGTAACAAGCAGAGTACAAATTTGAGGTGTTCCTATTAGCCCACTCACTCTTCGTCCTCACCTCAACAGGTCAGTGTTAATTAGAGCATTCAATATCCACTATAAACAATATGAACATTGAACAACTTCTGCATATCATTATGGCTGTAGGGGAATTACCAACTACTGTTAGTGAGTAAAATGAACATAGTCGAGTTACCTTAACTCTTCTTGCCTATGTTGGCTTCCCGGAGAAAAACAAAAATCTGACACTTGAAGCACCGAGTTCTGAAGGGACACTGCTGAATTCCCTAAATGCAAGCTCACATTTATTGTATTCTGCAATGATAAACTTAACTTGGATCTAATGAGAGGCATTTTTCTGACTGAGGTAGCAGGGGCAGTGATTAAAAAGTATCTGTCACAATGCATTAATTAAAACATATTTCAATTTTAGACAGGCATAGGAAGAGGTGTGTTTTATGTTAGGGTAGTATAGAATCCTCACTTTAGATTGTTCATCAATGACCTCTAACTCAAGAAATGCTATGTGGAGGGAAGGTATTTAAAAGAGAGATATGATTAGAGACGGAATAAATTCTCATGGAATTCAAGTGCAGGGTTTTGGTGTGGCCTGATTATAGAACAAGGAATCAGCCATAGAGCACTGTTTTATATGCAAAAATCTTCAAGGTTCAAGAGTGGGGAGAGACTATATCAGTCTCCAATTTTTTTATATATAATTTACAGATATATTATTCCATGTATTATTAATCATGCTGCTTCATATGGAGACTCTGATTAATTACAATGAGAAAGCTCTTACACTTGGTTGGCAGTTTTCCCTGTATTTTGGGTATAAATACTATGTATTTCCTGCCATCACTCTTATTTGTGTGTGTATTTTTGCTTTCCCCCTCTTTCTATTTAGATGCCCTGTACGTAGGCACCGGTTTTACCATGGGGAGCGCTGTGCAAAGTTTGCTCCAGAACCTATACAACCCTTCATTTTAAAAGCTGTGGTTCTTAGCTTATTAAGCCTTGTTTTTCTTGTCATCATATTAATTGTTAAGGCAAGAAGAAAATGCAAAAGCCAGATCAACTTGGAGTAAGCAGTTAATGATTTTCCCTTCACATTTAAATATTAATTTTCAATTATGTTTTGGAAGTTACAGATTCTTAAATAAAACAAAACTTCTGCATTATAGAGGTCCTGCTCCCAACAACTGTGGCACAGAAAATGCTGTACGAATTAATCCCATTTTTGAACATGATGAACACATCACTAGTTTTTGCCATATGCCTAGTAGCGTAAGTGCTTGTGTCAGTCCTTCAGTGCTCATTGACCAAGGAACTTTACACAACTGTGAAAACCCAACACAGTGTGAAGGTAAAATGCATGCACATACATTCTCATCCTCTTCAATATAAGTTTCCCCCAAATAACAATATGTCTGCTTTCATACATTAACTTCACAACTAAATCAGGTTTTCATTTATTTTCCATCTTGCCTCAGCCATTTTTAAGCTAAAAATACTAATCCCGGAATTTACTAATCAGTTTATAAAATTTACTGGTGCATAGGTTTCATGATAGAACTTTAGAAATTACTTTTTTACAGCTCTTCTGCATGGTTTTGGTGGGCCATTCTATCCTGATAACTTTCCTAATTATTAATACAAAAATTAAACATGAATATCCTTGTTTTAATGTTGTAGGTCACCAGATTATATTACAAAACCAAGACTGACAAGTTAGTGTCTGAAATTCTGAAGTTCCAGCATCATCCAGATCAGATGAAGGTTTGTGATTCCATTTTCAATAAAAGTGTACCATTAATGTTTTCTCTCAACTTCACTTTGTGTAGATGTGATCAGCAAACCACTATATGTACTAGTTTCATATTCCTTTTGAAGCTGAAAAGAAATTTTTGGAAATTACTTTTCCTTGGAGAGGTTGATATGTTAGCCACCTTCTAATTTGACATGTTTTTATGCAGTACTGTATTGTGTGCCAATTTGTATGCCCATTTTCTAATGCAGTAGTCTCTAAAGACATTAAAATTGTAACAAACAAAAGAACTAACGTTAATAGTAATAGTAATCAGATATTTCACTTATTAGTGCTATGTAAGGAGCTGAGATTACTTAAATTAGTCACAGGGCCTTCTTACAAAAGGTACCTACATTTGAATTTGAACACTACCCTGTATTTTACTTTGTGTGAATCTATAATTTAAAGCGTGAGACTTAATAGGATTCCCTCTTTCTTATGCAAAATGCAGGACAATGTAGCACTTTAAAGACTAACAAGATGGTTTATTAGATGATGAGCTTTCGTGGGCCAGACCCACTTCCTCAGATCAAAAAAAAAAAGTTGTTTTTTTTTAATCTGAGGAAGTGGGTCTGGCCCACGAAAGCTCATCATCTAATAAACCATCTTCTTAGTCTTTAAAGTGCTACATTGTCCTGCATTTTGCTTCAGCTACCCCAGACTAACACGGCTACATTTCTATCACCTCTTTCTTATATTATTCCTGGAGGGATTCTCCACCAAAAAGTCAAAATTCCGCACTAAAAAATTCAAAATTCTAAAATTGTAATTGTCAAAATAATGTAATATAATCACAGCGGTTTTGATTATTTTGGGAATTTATTTAAACTACAATACAGAAAAAGTCACAACAACTATTTAGTATTTCCTAAACACATGAAATTTAAGTTACAAACACTTGGTAACTAATACCCTGCATTCCAATTATAAACCTGAACTTTCATTTAAATTGTATTACAGAACACCAAACAACAACAAAAGTAAGTTATTTTTAATTGCACAGACTTTCACACATGAAAGTCATACTGTTTGCTAATTACTGTCCTGAATTAGTCTGAGTACTTTGGGAAGTGCTTGATTCAGATTATTCTGACATTTATTGACTGCCTGGTAAATGTTTTATTTACTATCTAAGTCTTTTTTTTTTTTAAGGGCAAGTAAAATAAATCCTGAGTTGCAATCTAACCCCATTGTGCCACTTTGGCACAGGATAAAAGAAAGAAAGCACATACCGTATATTCCGGCGTACAAGACGACCTCTGATGTTAAAAAACATCCCCCCAAAATCGGGGGTCGTCTTGTACGCCGGATGCACCGCCGCCGGAGCCCCTCCGCGGCTTTGAAAGCCTCGGGGGAAGCCGGCGGCGGGGGGGGCCCCGCCTTCCACTCCTCTTTCCCATGCCCACTCAGGTGTAGGGGAAGTGATGGAGACAAGGTGGAAAGCTAAGAGTGGAGATAGAGTATAATGTGCTTCAGAAGTCCTGGCTAGAGAGATGAGTGATCCTCTAGGAACCGACCACATGATGTGGCTGGCACAATTCAGAACAAGTCTTAGGCTTCCTTTAATTACAGACAGTCCCAGACTTACGCGGATCCGACTTATGTCGGATCCACACTTACGAACGGGGCTTTCTCGCCCCGGAGCTCGCAGGCAGCGGTCCTGCCACCTTGACCTCCGGGGCGAGAAAAGCTGCTCCCGGTGCCCCTGGTCTACTGGGGACCATCTCCAGCAGACCAGGGACACCGGGAGCAAAGGAGGCGGAGGGGCGCTGGAGTATAAGATGAAACCCTATCTTTTAATTAAAAAGATAGGGGGTCGTCTTATACACCCAGTCGCCCTATACGCCGGAAAATACGGTAGATGTTCCCAGCTCAGGATTCCCCTACTGTCATCTATAACAGGACTACTTTACATCACTCTGGCAATGTAGGGGCCTTAAAATTCCCATAGGGTTTATGCTTCTGGGGGAATTGGCTGAGAATGGGAACAGTTAACTAACAATAGGAACTATAATTTCAGGGGGGTTCTTATCAGCCTTTTTTAACTATTTAGTTTTTGAAGTGCTAATAGACTGTTATTTTTAAAGTTTTTCCTGTTACAGACTGGCTCTGCTATCCCTTATCTACCCAATGTCCTCCCCGCCCCAACCTTCTCCTTCCCTTATTTATTCTTGGTTCTGGACTTCCAACTTCATCTGAAGAAGTGGGCTGTGCCCACGAAAGCTCATGATACCATCTATATGTTTTGTTCATCTATAAAGTGCTACTAGACCATTTGTTGTTTTTAAAGTTTTTAATAGGAACTATAGGGATGCTGCTACATTTCTGCCTCAGAGAATAAGATCAATTAACCATCAACAGCAACTTTAACAATTTCACTACATAGCCAAGATTAAGGTTGTTTGTGTAGATGTTTGAATTTTCAGTAGGATTTGCATGTCTTTGGCCTCTTTGACAATCCCAGCCCAGATCTCAAAGAAATCATTTTACAAAGGCTTGAAAAAAGACCCCTCCCCCTTCCAACAGGTGTGTGGTAGGTAGAGAAGCTGGAAGTGAAGGCAGCTCAGTACACAGTCCAGGATAATTCTGAGTTCATAAAAGGGTATTTGAAAATCCAGTTATAGTGACATTGAAACAACTCCTTTAGTCTCCTTTGAAAATTGCTTTCACATGAAGTCATATAATTGATTACCATCTAGAAGGTATCTATGATTCTAAAAGCAAGCATGTGACTCCTCAGAAAAACCCTAGTAACCAAGAAATCAAGTGGTTAAACGAGTGGATTCATGACTATGAAGAACCATACCCTTCTTCTGAAATAAGTATATCTTTCACTGAATTTGAGCTCATTCCTGCACTCAAGCAGATGAGGTATTTCATATTTTGACTGTAAGTAAATATGACCAAACTTAGATGAGCCCAACAGGTCAAAAGTCAAACCTACAACTGTCCTTAGGACACTATCTACATGCATCCTAAGTCATCTAATAAGTTACTTTTCATTCCCACCAGATATAGAATGGAAGAAAACATCTCTTTCAAAATGCACCATTTCTGTGCAATTATGTAACAGGGAAGATAATGTATTATTTAAAGAATCAGGAAAGAGGTTTATCACAGCGCTGTCAGAATCCGTGCTGCCTGCCTTGTGAAGGGGCAGCAGCACATTTCAACTGCAACCACACAGCCCAGATTTCAATGTCATTCAATGTCTATCACTGTGAATGGCATCAGAGATGAGAAAGGAATCCCCTTCCAGACACTGGCTGGTACTGTCCATGAATAATTCTAATGTGTGATCTACTTAAGAAGAAAGGGTCTTATCTGGAGAACATCTCTTGCAAAGTTCAGTTTGCAAACTAAATTTATGCAATCTTACAGAAGACACATTTGCAGCCTTGCAAAAGGTGCAGCCAGGAATCAGTTGCAAGTCTTAGACAGAAACCCCATTTCAGGCCCCACTTTGAAGTGCATTTATTGTAGGTTTGCAAGATTCTGTTTACAGGATAATGCTCTCCTGGAGAACTAAAAGGTCATTATAAATGTCCCAAAGGAGATGGACCCTTTGACTGCAAATCAAATAATTTAGAAATACTAGAACTGAAGCATATGGGATCCTCCTTAGATAGATCTGAGATGATTTCTTGATTTTCAAGTCATTTAGTGCTGGGTCAGCCTTATGTGGAAACAGGTACTTCCCGTGAAACAGCTGTTTGGGTTCTTTCATCATACGTGTCTAAATGTATAGTTCCTTTCTCATCTGACACCGACAAAAACAGCATAACACCCTTTGCCCAGACATTCCTATCACCAGGGATGTTAGTTGGAATTACACAGTTTGAGGGGCAGACGGCACACCACAATTTCTTTTCTTCTCCATATCTGCTATATTAGACAAGTGGTCTGAAGAGTAACTGAATTACTGAAATATTAATAGGATTTTTTTTTAAAGGACAAAAGTACAGCAATATAAGTAAGTCCATTTAACAAAGCCATAACACCACACAGGTAAGATTCCATTACTAAGGCTGATGGAAGAACCATCGAGGGACCAGTAAGATACTTTGGGGGAGGGAGGTGGAGGAATAAGAAGGGTTGTACACTCAATTGCAGATTGATAGATCTGACGTTTGGACACGGTTCTCTGGTTTGTAAAATAAGCTACACTTCAATTGAGACTACGTACAAGCAGGGTTAAGAAGGAGAATGTTTTATTATGGCTGCTAGAGCTATTCTATTTATGATTCCATATGTATTTCTCATGTGAATCCTTCAAAATATTGTATTTCATTCATTGTTTAATAATCAGGAATACACTGTTCAAATGAATACACTATTCATGCACCATTTCACTAAAATTCTATATAAAAATCCCATTATGCTAAGCACAGCAACAATATGAGTGGTATTGCATAACTGCTCTGAGCAATTAAATAGCTGCATGTAGGGGACTACTGAATTCTATTTGAAACAGATTTTAGTGAAAATTTGCCTGCCTGATTACAGTGGCTTAGTAAAACATTTTCAATTTATTCCAAATTTGAGAATGCTTTATTAAAAGATTTCTGTAAACTTTTAAAAAATGTTTCTTACAAGAGTTTCTCTTACAGGTATTCAGAAACAAGTTCTGCATTATTCAAGACTGGAGTTCAGGTTAATCTATATATGGACAAATTTGGGAAATACAGAAAATCTTACAATTTTGTCTTGAATCTGGAGCACACATCATGTGGAAGTCAGTTTTTGTTAATGGAAAGTCGCAGCCACTTTGCTTAGTGCAACAATCTAAAATTTTACCATGAATAAAATATTAAAATGCATTTATAAAGTATAGTACTTAATGATTTTAATTCATTATTTCAAAGCTAAGGGACACAAGCAGACATCAGCTGGGGTTATATTCCACTCTCAGAATGAGAACCAGGTAAAAACCATTCCAGCCTGTATTTTTTATTAATAGGCTTGGAAGTATTAGATTTTTATCAGTAAATTTCAGTTTCAGACAAAAATATAGATCAATAATAAACGTTTATGGATATCTAATAAAAGAAAAAATGAGAAGTTCCCAAGCAGCAGTTATTTGTCAACATTGCGTGTCAAAATATAAAGTGTTTTAACAGTTACAAAGCTTTAAATAATTGACTCAACATCTACTGTCATTAAATTATTATTGTCTGGACACACCCCCAATAGAACTTTGTATATTTCATTGTTTAATTCATGGCAAAAAGGTCTCTTATTCTGAGATTTCCCAATTTTGGATGGATTGAGATGATTGCCGTTTTCCTTAAAGTGGGCTTTCCAGGCACAAAGAAACATTCTGTAACTTTTATAATGTACATAAGAGATGTGTTTATGATTACTCTATGGTAACAAATAGAGTGTACACACACACACACACACACACACACACACACACACACACCATATATTCAATATATACTAGGGCTATCAATTCACATGCATTACCTCCTGTTACTAATGCAGGGCAGGATTAATTTTTTTTAATGCATTAATCGCAGGCGTTCATGCTGCACTGCCCCTTTGAAGTGCCACTCCAGAGTCCCCAGATGACCTTGGGCTCCACTGCCCCTTTGAAACGTGCGGAGGCCGTGTTTCAAAGGGGCAGCTGCCTCACAGCTGAGCAGGGATAAGCTGTGCAGTGGCTGCCCCTTTGAAATGCCGCCTCCCAGGGCAGTGGAGCCCAGGATCATCTGGGGACTTCCCAGCTGATCCCGGGCTCTGCACAGTATTTCCCCAGAACCTATGTTCAGCTAAGTTGTCCCCAGATGACCCTGGGTTCCGGGGAAGTGCCACACAGACCCAGGATCAGCTAGGGACTCCCCGGCTGATTCTGGGTTCTGGCAAAATGCCACAGGGAGTCTGGGATCAGTTGTGCGGTGGCTGCCCCTTTAAAATGCCACCTCTGGTGTTTCAAAGGGACAGCTGCCATGGAGCCCAGAGTCAGCTGGAGACTGCCTAGCTGATCCTTGGCTCTCTGCAGCAGCAGAACCCGGAATTATCTGGGGAGTCCCCAGCTGTCCCCGGGCTCCACTGCCCTCTTTGAAATGTGCAGACATGGCATTTTAAAGGGGTAGCTGCCCTGGAGTCCAGGGTCAGCTGGAGACCGCCCAGCTGATCCCAGGCTTCCTGCAGCATTTTCCCAGAACCTGAGATCAGCTGGGGAGTCCCCAACTGACCCCAGGATCTGCTGAAATGCCACATGGAATGCCTTGCGCTGCCACATGGAAACACTGCCCCGGCGCTTCAAAGGGGCAGCTCTGCATGGAGCCCAGGGTCAGCTGGGAACTCCAGCTGATCCCAGGCTCCATGGAGCGCTGCCCCTTTGAAACACCGCAGCGCCATTTCAAAGGGGAGGTGCACGAGATTAATCACAGCCCTACTATATACACAAATCTCTCCTATTGGTTACTATTACGTTTTTGCAGAAGGCATCTCTAGAAGAGACAGGCAGCCATAAAAATTTCATATGCTTATCAACCCTCCTGCCCAATGCTGGATTGTTTCATAATCCAGATTCAAATACTGATGTTACTTATCCTATACCTGAGTATGTCTGTGCTGCATCAATGTTGTATACCTTTGGGCATTGTTTACCCTGTTTTATGCAACAGAAACTATACTTAAAGTGCAGTTCTACCCGTACAGTGTACTATAGCAACATGGTACCTCTTTATTCAGATTTGAATCTTATGTATATTCAGAATATTATCTGTTCTTTTAGTGACAAAATTGTTTAATTTTTAATTGTTAGTGCTGGAGAGCCAGCAAAGAGTGAGTAAACTTTATTCTCTGTACTTTGTGTAGTGTCAACAGAATAGATGCAAAGTTCCAATGAGTTACATCTGTGTAAACTGTAATTTTACATGCAGAATCTGTGTTACTGGTTTGCAGGTTCAAGCTAGAAGAACCCATCTTAAAATACCATGTTGAATTTGCAGGGCTGATTAGGTATTTTGACTAGGTAATCTTTGAGACAATAAATGGGGAACCCATGATTCTATTTTACCAAGTCATGTATCAGAAAAATTTAACGTATTTTTCAGAGGACATTGAAAGACCTCTTCCAACAAATGTTAACTCTAAATGCTGATATCATTACAGAATGTGCAAAATAGTCAATTTTTTCATTTTATTTAGTATATTTCAAATCATAATGCCTCTTCATTAGTCAGGCAATAAAGTCACTTTAAAGGTGCATTTTATTAATGAAATGGTTGCTTGTGACTGTATTTATCACTATCAAATATTAATTACCAAATATACTTGCTGGATGTAAATCTTTTGTATTTCAATAAAATATAATAAAATTCTTTATTTGAAAATTGCATAGGAGATACCTGTATTTAATCTCATCATCACAATTCCCTTCCAATTTGACATGTGGGTCTTAAATTAATTTGGGGAAAAAAAGATGAGAAAATTGTCACAGATTAGTAGATCCTAGAGTTGAAATAAGGTACCCATTTCAAAATCCAAAGGGACACTTATCATCAGACACGCAGAGAGAAAGACAATTTGCAATAAATGTGATTTTGCTAGGCCAAGACTTTAATAACTTCCAATTTCTCTGGGGTTGCTAGTTAATTTGCACAGCGCAGATCAATCATGATTTCTTCCTTAATTGCTCTCACCTCATGTCAGGTTGCCATCAACCCCCCTCCATCTCTGCCTCCCCCCCCCCACACACACACTCTTCCACAGCGGGCCCCACTCCATTGCTGAGACCCTATCACCAATCCTTTGTACCAGAGCAAAGGGATTGGAGAGAGTTGTCTTGTGGTACCCAAGATCAAGAGCCTCTTCCCATTTCCCAGCTACTTTAAGAGACGCCTCTCTCTAAATCCACTTTTGCTTCCAGCTTATTAGGGACAAGGCTTCCTATGGAACAAGTCCTTGCCCTGGACTCATGCTATAAAGAAGCACCAGTCATTTTGTTTGGCTGTTTCACACCAGCTCCAGTGGGTTCCCAGATAGTTATCTATTTCCTCCTTGAGGATATGTCTACACTACCACCGTAGTTCGAACTAAGGTGGTTAATGTAGGCAACTGAAGTTGCAAATGAAGCCCGGGATTTGAATTTCCTGGGCTTCATTTGCATCTTGCCGGGCGCCGTCATTTTTAAAGCCCCGCTAGTTCGGACTCCGTGCCCGTGGCTACACGTGGCACGGAGTAGGTAGTTTGGATTAGGCTTCCTATTCCGAACTACCGGTACACCTCGTTCGAACAAGGGTGGTAGTGTAGACATACCCTAACAGTCAACAACAGATCTGCTCCCTGCTCAGGAAGTTATGCTATTTTCCCCCTAAATAACAAAGTTACCAAATACAATAGTTTTTGGTAGTTTAGTGGTAAACTATGGACTTCCTCGTTCACAATTATTCACTCACCTTCTGGGTCTGTCAAGTCAGAGAAGGCTGGTGGCTCCCCTCCATACAATTCTGATGTAGCTTTTCAGACCAGTCAACATCCAGATGTTTTCAGGAAGTGATTTGTGCTAATTTTCTCAGTGCCCTGTTTACATCATCCCCCCTACAAAGTCCACCCAGATGAAATATCATTTCAGGTCACTGATTCCTGACTGCCAGAGAGTGTAAAACAGGCATCAGCTGGTCCCAGAGAACATCCTCCTGCTGCTGTGACTCAGATTTGCTTTGCCTCACTGCTAATGCCCAGCTGCAGACCTCCAGGGGAACACACTAACTCCTTGTGATCCCTACCCCAACATCAAGTCTCATGACATGTCACCTGACCCTCCACATGTGCCAACTCAGAGCTTCGGCCCAGCAGTAAAATTCCAGGGGAAAATAGCCACCTACCTTGGAGCCAAATGCATAATAACTGAGTCCACACATCCAGTCACCAACTCCTGTGATGTGTTCACAAGATTCTGAAGGGTCAAACAGGGAGAGTTTAGCACATATAAACCACTCAACTATTTTCCCCTGCTGGAGCCTCCATATCCTTCTATGCATTTGGATGCCATCACCGCCAGGCATAATATGCTAGGTTCCTATTCCAAGCTACAGTATACTCTAAATGTAACAAGTCCAATGCTGAATGAATGGGACCCCAGTCCACCAGCAAAATCTCAACATTATGTACTTGTTGACATCACAGCAAAATAAAATTTCCTCTTCTGAGGCAACTCCCTTTCTTATGAATAAAGAGTGGCCTTTATACTAAGCCTGTCTGTATTTGTTGGACCCAGCTACTCTGCAGTAACTATGATTAACCTGGATATCCCTTAATTGATTTTCTGACACAATAAGGATGCCAAGTGACTTTAAAGTATCTACAATATTTCTTCCCCTTCAGAAAGGCCTTTCTGCCTTTTTATACTTTTCTAAAAATGGTCAACATTTCCCACTTGAACTGCAAGTATCTGATTAAAGGAAGGATACCAGACAGATTTCAACCTGGAATGTATTTATTTTGTGTAATTTTCAGTACATCATTAAGAGATCAGTTTAGGTAAACTACTTGAAAAATATTTTTAAACAAAACCAACAAAAACAAAAAGAGGATGCAATTGCAAATAGGAAACAGAATTTCATCCATGGACAAAAAGGGTATATTTAATGACTTGATAAAATTCTAGGAAGATCCATATTCTTGAGTCATGTTATCAGGAATACAGCCTGGTAGGTGTCTTTCTGTCTTTTTGTTTACCAACATGCTACATGTGAAAACTCCCAGCTATGCTGGACACCATATTAATTTGTTTTTTAAATCAAACACACAGAACAGAGTCATTGTTTTCTATTCATTTCCCTGTGTCAATTCGGAGCAGTTAAAATTACTGCTTACAGTCAGGTATCAGGAGCAGCAATAGTAAACACTGTACTCTCTACAGAGGAATCAGGCTAACTCCTTATTACCGATAAGATAACCAAGTGTCTAATCAAGCAATTAGCTAATGTAGAAGACTGATAAGCAGTTGATTGTGGTTTGAACCCCAAACTTGATTCTGATTCAAGAATGATCTCTGCTGTGCTAACAGGCTCAACTACCAGCAGCAACTTCCAGCAGAGACCTTTACTGGAATACATGCTATCATGTACAAAACTGAAACATTCTGAAATTTAGCAAATATTCTCTCAGCTCAAATTAAACAAAAGGAAGTGCTGAGAGCAATAGCAAGAGGTGGGAAATGTGTCGTATGATAACATCCAATCCAGTTCCATTTTGATTAAAGTGAAAAAGATTTTCTTGGTTAAAATCCTAGACACATTGCCATGATATCTGAGTGACTTACAAACATACTGAGAATATGCCATATTGTAAAATAAAGGCTAGCTTCCCCTAAATGCATAACCATAATTAATAATGAGAGAAGTTGGTGGTATTCATCAAGCAAACACTTTTAAATGTGCCAATATCAGAACCAAACTGCTACACTGTATTTTTTTAAGCTCTTTATAATATACCACAAAGATCACGAGACTATACAGAATTAGACAATCACTAAAATCCATATAGACTAAGAAGGGGCCAAGTTAGTTCAATACTTCCTTAAATGGGTTTATTAAATGCCCCAGCTTCAGATAATTTATAGGATTTCCAAGAATCTAGTGACTAGGCTATGAGATTCTGGTCCTAATTCAGCAACGTACTGAAACAAATGCCTAACTTCAACCACGTAAGTAGTATCTATAAACTCATGTTATTGAATATAGACTTGTGTTTGAACAAATTGCTGAATTGCGTCCTTATGCACACATCCTTCACACTGCAGTCACTTATACTTAAGTAAACTGTTGGGTGTGGGAATAGAAAAGGCATTTTGAGATCCTGACCAATGCCACCTCATGATAGAAGAGGAATGTGATACTTACCCTGAAAGAAAACACACACTATTCCAGTCCTAAACTCAGAGAAATTGTCAATTACATGGATTCATAAATAAATGCTAGTTCTTTACTAAAAGATTTTCACACTTATTACAGCATGGAGTGTATAAAAGACTGACTGTGGCACACAAAGAATCTAATCTGACAAACTTTTTCTTACTGCACTATAGAACTGTACCTTTTCATAGAACGGAACATAGAAAATACATCCTTCAAAAAGGACTCAGGGAAGAAATATATGTGCAAGTATATATATATCACACACACACACACACACACACACACACACACACACACACACAGAAGTGTGTAAAACTTTGTTCTTCACTACAGGAAGAGAGAGTATTTTGCTTTCAAAAGATCTGAATATTCCATTTTCACTAGAAGGCATCAAACTACATCTCTTTATTTTTCAAATTTTTAGCACTGAAATATAAATATCAAGTTTTAATCTGTTGATATATGGCCAGCCTTAAGAAATAAGTAAACAAAAGGTAGCTTTTGTGGTGTGAAATGAGTAATTCCTATACAAGCGCATTTTAACTGTGAAGCTAGGACACTATTATGTAAAGCTAGAAATCCTGAATGGAAATTAAGCCCAAAAAAACAGAGTGACTGAAGGAAAATGTTTGTTGTTACAGTAGACCAAAACACTCAGCCATTTAATGTAGCATATAGCAATTAGACATGACAATGATGTGTGTCTGGGCAAGACTCTGATACCATCTAACAGAAGTAACAATCTGTGTGCATTCATTAAAATAAATAGGGTCTCTAAAATTCAGTCCCCTGCATTCCAATTCTGCTAGGTTACTATTAATAAAAGAAAAAAAGGGGGGGAAACCCACATTGCCCTTATGCTTTCCTTTAATCTTAAATATATTTAAAGAGGTATCTTTGAGAATTTTTGCATCATGTATTTATATTACACTACCAGGATAATTTAACTATCCAAGGACTCCTAGCAAAGTTTTGTCAGAAAAAATATAACCGAAGGAGTGTTTGCAAGGACTCTTACTTTAAAAAAAAATTAAAAAAGAGAAAAATACAAGTCTAAATGTGCAGTACATCTTTTGAGTCTCTCCATCACTACACAGTACTTTGAATACACAAGTGCTCATCTCAAAACAATGTCAGATAAAGTAAGAGACCAAGTAAGAAATTAAAGATTTCCCATAAGTTTCTGGAAAAGTCGATACATACAGATGTTGAGCAGCTTTCAGATCAGGACATAAAATATCTTTGATCATACAGAAGTACTGTACGCTCCAACTTCTCTGAGAAGAAGTTAAAGCTAAGGCCTCACAATTCCAGTTCAAAGATACATTGTACCCTTTTCACTAGACCACCTTTGAAAGGTTTCTATTTTGCAAGTTTTAAAGAGGATTTTATAAAAAGGAAATTGTAATGGAGTTGATCGTAGCATGAACCCCAAGTACAATAGTGTTATTTTACAGTGCTAGCATTATAACAGAAGTTTTTTTAGAAGAATCTAGCATATAAAGAAAAATGAAACTAACATACTTGACAGAAACTTCTGCAAGGTCCACAGAATTAGTGAGTTCACAACACAAATTAAACACCAGAAGTACAAATTAAACTCCCATGATTAATAAAATCTGTTCACTTTAAATTAAATATCTCCAACACTATTACAGAATGTTTAAATCCTCAGTTGCATAGAGGAACTCTTCCCTTTATATCATGGTAAGGGTTCTCAACTCTAACAACAATGTGCAAAAGTAACTATTTTAACAGGTTCTGCAACATAGCTGTTGCATACGTAGGGCGAGCTTGTCTGCTCTTAATTGCATTTTGAAGATACTGGATGCCTCCACAGCGCTCCCAAATCTCTTCAAACTGTCTCGGCAAAATTTCAGCACCACGCTTTCGAGTTAAGCCAGTCTCTTCAAGATTCAGTTCACACATCTCCATATCATCCTTCCCTGAAATGGTTAAAAGAAAATTTGGTTGTATAAAACCATTTATATGGTTCAAGATCCCATTAACAAAAATTACACAGCTGCTTTGTTCCTTTTTTCCCCTAAAATGATTATGAGCCTTTTAAGAGAGACAATGTTTTACTGTAATTTACAAACATTATTATGAAACCAGTTTGACAACCCAAGAGACTGAAGTTCTTCTACCCATTAAATAAGTAGAGCATGGACAGCTGCAGGAGAGCTAACTTTGCACATTTCAACTAACTCGCTCATGTGCTTCAAAAGTGAGCAGGACAGAATACTTGCAGGAGCTGTCATGAGTTCTCAGCCCTCAGGTCTTTTCTGCTGAGATCACAGACAAAGACGATTTTTGGCAGGTGAACACCCAGCGCACAAGAAAATTACCAGTCAGTTTGTTTCACACTGGCCACTGAAATGCTAGTGAATTATCATTATAACATTTGTTCAGATCTAAATAAGTGACCTGCAAGCTAAAGGCTTTGTGTAACACTGCCAAAAGCTGAATCAGCCAGTCTTCCACACTAAACATTTAAAGTGGCATTTGTCAATTGACATTACCCATATGTATATTAAATCCAAACACATGCAGAATGCAAGTAGCCAACTTTTTTTAAAATTTTGCCAGGAGGTACATTAGAACAGTGCACCGATAGGAAACACCACAACTGCACATATGTAGTTTAAATGTGAAAGGCAGATAGAAATAATATTCAGAATAATTATAGCATTATCTAATTAGAATAGTGAGAAGAAACTTAACTGCTTGGAAACGTACCCTGACCATAGACACAAGTAACCTGGGATGGTTCTTCACTAGGTTTCTTAAATTAGAAAATATATAATAATTTAAGGCAGAGATTTTTGGAGGGAGACAACACAAGGGGAGGGACAGTAAAAAAAAAACCAAGATGTTTATGACTCTTTTCCCTATCACCTTAAACATCCATCTCCCCATTTCTGTCCATTTTCTATTACACAAAACTAGGAATATTTCAACAAAAACAGAGGAAGAGTCTAACTGACTGATTTGGGGATAGGAAATAATTTTCTGCCTGGTGAGATCTGCAGAGACCCCAGGTTTTTTTCCCACCTTTCTCTGCACCAAGGTTCACAATTCACTACTGTAAATGGTAGATTCTATGCAACTTGAAGTCTTTAAATAACGATCTTGCATTAAGTCTCTCCTCACCCCTCCTTGCTTTCACAACTACGTAAAAATCAAATAGAGCAGTGACCATGTACTATTTCTTAGATCACTGTGTGTCAGTCTTCGGTTTAGGTGATGTGTAGGCCCAAAGGTTATTGAAGTGTGTACCAAACCACCTACAACTATTGTATAAATATCGGCACTGAATATTACATGTAACTTGAGTTTCTCTTTCCAAAAGTTAAGAGCATATGCCTACCTGCTACAAGTAGAATAGGTGGCTTGTCAGGATGAAGTTCCATTTGTCGAGCAATCCAAGGCCCATCAAAATGTGCATACCACCAACCTTTCTTCTTGTTCTGAGGATCTTTATACTGGTCTGCTGGGCGAATGAAGGGGATGCGGAAGTAACGCTGTTGTCTATTTATTTCAATCTCCTGGTGCCTGGCAGGCAACTGAGCTGTTGGGTTCTGTTGAGCTATTTACAAAGAACAGAGTTACTACTGCAGACAAAAGCAGCCAATGCAATCCTTAAACACTAGCCACCTTCTTTTTAATGTGCAAAAAAAAGGAATAAATTCCTCAAATAAATTAATTTAATTAAATCTGTGCTAAAAAGCCACATGACTCAAAATTTCCACTCCTGAATTTTTACAGATAACAATCCTCCAATGGTAGGGACTTGGGGAACGCTAGTGTTGGCCTACTTGGTAATTTTCAGCGTCTTTCCTTGAGCTGTTTCAAGGCCATTATGGCTTAGAGTAATATTGAAGATATACCGATTTTTACCCAATCATTTACAAGCATAAAAACAAAGCAGCAACTAGTCTATACTACAGTCTAGGCCTTCACAAAATCAAGTCATACCACAGCCTTCTGTGTCTAAAATTGCTTCTATGTAATATTGTACTAACTCAAGAAATATGTTCATTTCATAACCAACAGAAAAATCTTGTAATAAAAAAGACATCTAACCTGTTAATAGAAACAATAATTAATGCCTATTTATTACAATATGCTCACTAAATCTGCTTTCTATAACATGCATTGAACTTAGTAATTAAAATTAATTGCTGAGACTCTCAGAAAGTATTCATTATGTCATTAAAATCAACTGAGTTGAACAAAATTTTATAGGCAAGACATATTTTTAGGCAACTTATTTCATTTTTAAGAAACAACAAAAGCAAGACCGTTGGGATCTTCTAAACAGCAGCTATAATATTAATAGATGTTAGTCACCTATTAAGTGGCAAACTTATACTGGAACTTTAACAAAATGTAAAAAGGCAGACATTTAACACATCTTGTTGACGAAATTGCAGAAATATATATTAGTAAACAAAATAGCAAGCTCCACTTGCTATTTCTTCCAATTTTGTGTAACTAGAATGGTTTATTAAAGTGTAGAAAGCAATATCTGAAAAAAATTCAAAACGTAAAATATTAGTGCCTGAAAACTATATAGAAAACAATAAGGTGAACAAGAAAAGATTGTCTACAGAACTAGTTTTAGTAATGTTTATTACACTTATGTTTATCTGTGGATACCACTTTCATACACTAGCATTGATCAAATACGTTCTATGAGAAAGAATAAAAATTTGAGTTTATTTACATTAAATTTCATGGAAATTCATGAATCTTTCTGAATTGTCTAAATGTACATTGCACCAAACTAAAGACGTGGTAGTGTGAAACACTTCTTTGCATTACAACAGCAATCAGTTGGTCTTCTTTCTATCTTTGTGTTTAGATTCCTCAGTAAATCTAAAGAATAGAAGTTCTAAGTAATCAGCTTATCTTTCATTTTCAATGGTAGATATTGACTGATACAGAAATACTTTGTTTTAAAAATTAAACTAGCCCCTAACATTAGTTTTGTACTAAGAGAACAGCTGTTGTAGTAAGTTGAGTGCAGAGTTTTGCTACAATAGAAAAAATGTGTACAAATATAATAAAATGATAGAATTAAAAGAGAATAGCATTTCCTCAACCATAAATGAGTTCACACCTTCAGTTAACCACCATCAAAAAGTTACATTTCTCAATATGTAGATCTCATTGTGAAAATAAATTTAACAAATATACAATCATTAGAAAAATAAGGTGGGAGAGGTAAATCTTTTATTGGACTAACTTCTGTTGTGGAGAAGGACAAGTTTTCAAGCTACATAGAGCTCTGGTAATTTAATATATGTAGCCATTGAGTTAATGTTTTTGTGGCTGTTTTTTGTGTTAAGCAGAAAATGGTGAATTAATATTTTTTATTTGTATACTTTGATTCTACAAATGTAGCAACACACTGTTCAGCTGAAGTTAGTACAGAGATTATAAGCACTCGTATTCGTTAACTTTGTCATACATAACCATCTCCCCACTTACTTGAGCTGTTGAAAAATGGTGCAAAATCTGTAAACAAATATTCCATATTGAAGAAAACAGAATCATAGAATACTAGAACTGGAATAGATGCAGTTAAAGTTACATATTAAGTATTTCATAAAGTTTGCCACCAAGCCATGTGGCAAAAGGAAATTCCATTTGTAAGGGAAATGTGGGTATTGAGGTAATTATCTGTATCTCTGTGCTTGTTTACTGACAAGAATATCATGGGTTTCTTTTATTAACTGGCGTATAAATTTGAAATTGGTATTTACGTGACTTACAGTGCAAGTCAATACAAATGAAAAACCACAGTGATACAGGTACTTAATACAAATTGCAGGGATAAATCTTTGTTCATTATTTCATGTGGTACCTTTAATAAACTTTTGACATTTCTGCATGGAACGGAAAATCATTCTCTAATTTGCAACGGTTCTGTCTAGGAAAGAGAAATGAGCTCCATTTTTTTGGTACTATAAAATTCACTAATTGTAATCCATTCTATGACAGAGTGCTCATTGCATATGTTCCATTTCTCAGCCCACTGACATCTAATTACAGAACTGTGTGTGTAAAACTATAATATGTTGGTGAGTAAATAAAAATGGAAATACGTCATTTGAATCATGTATTCAGTGACAGCTAAAAGAGTTATAGAACAAGCATCCACGGAATCAGGGATTCACTGTATTTAAGGTTAGTTATAATACATGGAATTGAAATGTTCATTTAGAAGAATTACTTACAAAAATAAGAATTTACTGTGACAATAAAATGAATTTCTAAAGATGTAAAGATTATGATATTACTACATTTTCCTACACACAGAAATGTCTCAACTTTTATAAAGAAATAGAAGATCATATTTTAAGAAAATGATGGAAAAATTATAAAGAAAAATGAGATTTGCTATAAAATTGATCATTATGTGGTCATAAATTTGCACACACCTATCCAAAGGTAGATTTGTGTCATTTATGGCACATTATTGCCAGGAACAATATATAGCAATAATGCAACCTATGAAAATGAACCATTATCAACATCTAATCCTTTAAGAAGCAAAATCATCCATTTTATTAGTTCAGTAAGAAATTGCATACACTGCCATCCCATTTTCACATATTTTTAATATTAAAGTTTATTGAACCGAATCTAAACTGTAAAAAAGTTCAGATGTTGATCAAAATGAGCAGGAAGGAACAGAAATAGTTACTGGATAATCAAAGATTTTAAAAAATCTCCTCTCTATTTTTGTGTGTCATTCTGAAAAGAATCATATCATGGAGAACCCATAAGCTATTGGTATTGAAGCAATCTAATTATTTTAATTTAATTTAATTTTAGCTACCACTGTTGCTTCAGGAACTGCAGGTTGACTATGAGGGTATTCAGAATCTCTGATTTGGTTCATCTTTGAGAATCAAATTATACCTACCATAGAAAATTGTATCATATTGCTGAATTCAGAGAGGGGGTTCTCTGCTAACAACCTGATTCCTAAATAATCTAAGAAAAATGTGTGTGTTATAGGATATAGCTGAAGTAGCTTCTAATACAGGTTTTACGAAGAGTGCTCTTCGGCAGATACGCCTTAAGCATCTTTCTGCCCACTGGTTAACTTGTAACAAACTGCGAGCATGCAAAATACCAAATCTAAAACTATTTCTAACTTATGGCAAATATGAATTAGTAGATATGATTGTTTAGAAAATAATTATTTTAGTTAACTTTTATTGGACCTTATGAGTACCACCATATTTGAATAGCAAACGAATCAATCAAACTGTCAATTAAAATCTGTTTAACAAAGTATTTTACCTACTTTCATACAAAAATATTTTAAACAAATAACCCTTTTTCTTCAACTTAAAGAAAAATATTTCTAAAAATAATCTGCTTGTTTATTCTGGAAATGTTTCATTTGACAAATGTTCCAAATTTATTAAAAAACTGAAAAATAAATTAATTTCTCACCATAATCAGTGACTGATTTTGGAGCACGTTGTTCTGTTTCTGTATTACGTTTCTTATTCTTGGATTTCCATGCATGATATACTTTTAGTCGTCTGTGAAACTCTTCTCTGCAAGCTGCCAATAATTCAATATCTGTCTCAAAAACAGCAAAGAAAAAAATGCAAAAAAAATCAGAAGACAAACCTAGTTATAAAATGTGTTTCTATTTTAGAGCACATTGTAACATAATAATGTCTTACAAGGCAAGCAAAATGAAAGCTTGTGGCAAGTGAGAACTAAGCTGAGCAAAGAAAGCAGACGGGTGCTATAAAGGCTTATGTAGATGTGCACAAGCCTCACAATATGGACGTATGGCACTCCTGATTGAGGCAGGACTAACAGACACAAGCAGACTTGCAATATCTGTAACATCACCCATCAAGTACTGAATAATAAGTTTGTGCGTGTCAGTCTCTGATAAACTCCCACACACATATAAAAGGCTTTCACTATTATCAGTTCAGCTGAGATGGAATAAGCACAGGAGAAGAGGAGAAATGGCAAGTGACTGTTTTACATCGTGCTGGAAGATGGATCTGAATGCTGGTGAGACCCTTTTCATTGTCTCTGGCTCACGTATGCTCCTTACTATAGTCCGGGGCAAGATCATCACCTATGCTTTGGCCTCTTTGTGATGTATATGGTGGCCCAATGGCAGAAAAGGAATCTCAAAGACCTACGTTAGGCATTAGAGGGTCTCCCTTGCTGCAGGAACTGTGGAAGATAGCAGTAAAGCAGACTCCTAAGGATTCCGCGACAGAGGAGGAGGTATACTGGAATAGGGAAGTGGTGAGTGTTACAATGCAAAAACCATGCACATTCAGAGTTGGATTTTCTAGTGTTGTTCCCTAGTATCTACAGCCACAAAGTCTGAGGATCTTTCTCCCTACCTTCCTATTGGAAACCAAATGCAGGGGACAGCCTAGTCGTTTTTTTCTTCTCTTTTCTGAAGTAGGGCTGCCAGGTGTGGAATCATCTAGAATTAAGATTTATGATTTGCTCTCTTTGCCTATTCATTCCTACATGTGATACTACTTTGCTCCTGCCAACCAGTCAGGGAACTAGTTTGCTGAGAAAACTCTCAGCAGCCTGGCTACTCAATCAAGGCCTCGACATTTTCCTTTAAACAAAGAGTGTTATTTTTGCCAAAATATCTGGCCCAGAGAAACAACGGATCATAGAATGATACCATATGCACGTCCTAGTCACCAAAGAGGATCTGAACCAAATGTGAACACCTAAGTGCATCAAAACCATCTACTCTGTAGCCACCAATGACTTAAGCCAAAAACTCAAAAATTATTTTAAAAGACCTCAAATTTGAGGCCAGTTCAGTGATATGAAAGCTAGAGAATAGACAGGTTTCTAGCCAAGATATCCAAGAAGGAGTCAGGCATCTGTCAGAAACAGCCATTAGCCTAAAGATAGACTTCTTTTCCAAAAAACAAACCAATTATTAATAACTGACACGTGATAACAATTACAATAAAATATAAAGGAATGTTACAAATTAGTTAATCTCTTCATGATACTGAAAATACCTAAGTATTACTAGGGGGCTGAGGCCCCAGCGCGCTGCGCTCACCAACCCGTTTCCCCCTGGCCACCGGAGAGGCCTGGGACGCAGCAATTCCAGCCAGGGCCCCTTGCCCCTTCTGCCAGCTCAGGCCCCTCTACTCAGACCACTCTCCCCCAGCCAGGGCCGGGTGCACCCCAGTGCCAACCCAACCTTCCCCCCCTCCATGGACATCCTGCCGAGGCCCCACAGGAATCCCACCACTGGCATCCCGTTACTTGTTTTTATTGCCCTCCACTTGGTGGCTGCCAGATCTTCAGCCAGCTGCTGCGCAGCAGCTCAGAGGGACTGGGGGTGCAGGTCTGGGCATGAGGGGGTGGGAGGCACTTACTTGTCTTTCAGTCTCCCACCGCTCCCATTAGACAGAATCTGGCCAGTGGGAGTGCAGGGAAAGGCTCCAGACAGTGCGCTCACACGCTGCTGTTACCCCAGCATGGGAGGGGGAGTGCTTCTTCCCTGCACAGCAAGACTCGGGGCTCTCTCTCCATCCTTCCCTAAAGCTCCGCAGAGGCCGCACCCAGAAGCAACTGCCCAGACCACAGGCCACCTCCAGTGGGAGCAAGCCGGGGAGGAGGAAGAGGGACGCATGCTGCCTCAGTGCTGTAGTGTGCCATCTCAGCCAGGCTCCACAACAGCCACTTGCTGGCCCCGGGCCACTCACCCTCCTGGACAGACCCCTTCCCCAGCAGCCTGGGAGGTAGGAATGCGTCTGAGGGCAGAGAGAAGCAGGACAAAAACTTTTCCTGAAGGACCCAGAGTGACGCATGACATCACTTCTGTCATCCCACAGGAAAAATGTTCTTTAATATATAGTAAAGATAAAGATAAGCTTTATCTTCTTAAAAAAATTAGCAAATATTAATTTGATCAGCTACAATATTAATGCGTCTAGTTTGTATTTTAAATTAACTTATGTTCTATTTACTTTTGAAGCCTGAAAAATTACATTTAGAAACTTAGACTTTATAAATGCAGGGTAATATTACATGTATTCAGTTCCATTTTACTGGAATGTAAATTAATTTTAAATAATGTCATTAAGAATTTATAATACGTTACTCCTTACTGAAGTGTATAAAATTCACAGATACAACTAGAGTGTAACAGGTAACAACTTACTCATCAACTTAGCACTCGTTGAAGGTGCAAACAACTCTTTGTGTAGACTCCTATGTCAGGAAGGATGCTATCCATTGACTGATTCTTATATGCTTCGTTTTAACTACCCAATCTTCAGATAAAAGACAGAACTATGCAGCACTTTAAAGACAAGATGGTTTATTAGGTGATGAGCTTTCATGAGCCAGACCCACTTCCTCAGATCAAATTTTGGAAGAAAATTGGCAGGACCATATATACCAAAGGGATACAATCAAGAAAAAGAAAACACATTTAAAATTGACAAATCAGATTTTAAAACAGGGGTAGAGGTTTGGGGGGAGGTTAGTGTCTATGAGGGTATGTCTACACTACAATGCTATTTCGAATTAACTTAATTCGAAATAGTTAAGTCGAATTAAGGTAATTTGAAATAACGCATCTATAAACAAAAACTATTTCGAAATAGCATATCCACACTGAGTGGATCCTGAACCAAAGTTAAGGCTGGCCGGAACCAGTGCCCGCAGGGCATCAGGATAGGACTTGGGGTACGTCTAGACTACATGCCTCTGTCGCCAGAGGCATGTAGATTAGGCTACCAGGCATAGGAAAATGAAGCGGCGATTTAAATAATCATTGCTTCATTTAAATTTACATGGCTGCCGCGCTGAGCCGACAAACAGCTGATCCTGGGATGAGGTATACCTGGGTGGTGGACAAATGCCTTTGATGTCGACACCTGCGCGTCCAGACTACCGTGCTGAGCCTACAAACAGCTGATCAGCTGTTTGTCGGCTCAGCGCGGCAGCCATGTAAATTTAAATGAAGCAATGATTATTTAAATCGCCGCTTCATTTTCCTATGCCTGGTAGCCTAATCTACATGCCTCTGGCGACAGAGGCATGTAGTCTAGACGTACCCCAAGTCCTATCCTGATGCCCTGCGGGCACTGGTTCCGGCCAGCCTTAACTTTGGTTCAGGATCCACTCAGTGTGGATATGCTATTTCGAAATAGTTTAGGGCTGCTGCCAGAGCTCCGTGCTTAAAGGGACCCTACCCCCACCCCAGACAGACAGGTCTCAGGGTTCCCCGCTTGCTTGTCTACCTCAATGAGGGACAGCAAAGCAGTCCTGTCATGGAGTGCCCTGAGTGCCCATACTCGGGACACCACAGCACTCGGCCACATGGAGCCAGAGCTGCCCCATAGCACGCCGGTGCATCTCGTGGTGCTGTTGCCATCAGCCCGGCTGCACTTGCAGCAGACTGCCATCCTGAAGGTCCATCAGGGGGCTGTCAGGATCCAGGAGGCCCTGAGGGAGAGCTTCTACCCTGTAGAGCCCTCAGAGCCACCCCTGTCCTCCCCACTGGGAGCTCATGCCTCATTCCTCCCTCACATTCTTCCACTTAACCCTCCCTAGCCCCCATTCCTGATGTCAAACAAAAGACAAGTATGTTCAAAAATAGAAACTGGGTTTATTGAACAAAACTGGGGGGAGGGATGAACCTCTGGGGAGACTGGGAAAAGGGGGTGGGAGAGGGGAAGAAAGAGGGTGGGAGACGAGAGGGGGAAACCTGGGAGGAGGGAGCTGGAAGAGGGGAAGCAAGGGAAAGAAGGGGGAGGAGAAACTTAGGGCTCAGGGTTGGGGATCTCACAGGACCAACTTGACTTTCATGCTAACCTGCTGCTGGGTTCACATGTGGCCTTTGGTGGCCAGACTGGCATCTATCCTACCATAGACGGCCGGGTTCCTCCATCTAGTGCAGAGATCATGGATATCGGGGGCATCCCCCCCAAACCTGAATAAGGTCCATGATCTCCACCCTGGACCAGGAAGGCGCCCACCTTCTTCAGCCTGGCAGGCTCCTGGGAGCTAGCAGATTGCTCGTGGGGAATGGTGGAGGGTTGGTTGCCAGTGGCTTGCTGGCTTATGTTTTGGGGCCACTGGGTCGGGGCCCCAGTGGCCACTGCTGGCTCTGGGTTGCTGGCTCATGTTTTGGGGCCTCTGGGTCAGGGGCCCCGGTGGCCACTGCTGGCTCTGGGATGGCAGGCTTGGAGCTGGCACAGGCACTGTGGCCAGGGTCTACCCCTTTAATGGCTCCGGGGCTAGGGGAGAGGAGAGTAAGCTTTCCTGGGCTCCCTGGGAAGGGCTGGAGGCCCCCTATTTCGAATTAAGTGTCTACACAGCACTTAATTCGAAATAGCTATTTCGAATTTGGTGTTACTCCTCGTAGAATGAGGTTTACCAAATTCAAAATAAGGGCTCCACTATTTTGAATTTATTTCAAAATAGCAGTTTGCCTGTGTAGACTCTATTAAAGTTAATTCGAAATAACAGCTGTTATTTCGAATCAACTTTGTAGTGTAGACATACCCTGAGATAATGATACTTGGGGGTGATAATTGGGGAAGCTATCTTTACAATGGGTAAGGTAGTTAGCAGCTTTGTTAAGGCCCATTTGTAAAGTGTCAAATTTAAGCATGAATGACAACTCTGAGGTTTCCCTTTGTAGTCTGCTGCTAAAGTCTCTTTGGAGTAAGACACATGTAGTAAGGCCATTGAGACAATGCCCAGTCTGGATGAAATGACAAGAAGTTGTTTTTACTTTGTGAAACTATCTTATGTCTGATTTGCGGGCATTAATTCTTTGGCGAAGTGTCTGAGAAGTGTGTCTAATATACAAAGCAGACGGACACTGTTGGCACATGATGGCATAAATTATATTTCTGGATGAGCAGGAATATGTGCTCTTGATCTTGTAACTGAAATGGTTAGGTCCAATGATGGTGTCAGCAGAGTAAATATGTGTACAAAGCTGGCAACGGGGTTTGTTGCAAGGGAAAGTTCCAGGGTTGGTATTAGTGTGGTATGTCCTGTGGTTGTTGGTAAGAATCATCCTGAGGTTTACTGGTTGTCTATAGGAGACTATAGGTCTGTCTCCCAGAGCCTCTCAGAGTGTAGTATCCTGTTCCAGTATAGGTTGTACGTTATTGATAATGTGTTGGATGGGTTTAAATTGGGGGCTAAAGTGATGACAAGTGGTGTTCTTTTGTTGGTTTTCTTGGGTCTATCTTGAAGTAGATGGTTTCTGGGTATTCGTCTGGCTCTTTCAATTTGTTTTTTTACTTCCCCAGGTGGGTAATTGAGGTTTACAAGGCTTGGTAGAGATCCTGAAGTTTCTGGTCTCTGTCAGTGGGATTAGAGCAGATGTGGTTGTATCTAAGGGCTTGGCTATAGACGATGGATCGTATGGTGTGTCCTGGATGGGAGCTGGAGGCATGTAGGTAACTGTATGAGTCAGTGAGTTTTCTGTAGAGAGTGGTATCTAATTTACCATTGGTGATTTGTACTGTGGTGTCCAGGAAATGGATCTCTCATGTTGAATGGTCCAGGCTGAGATTGATGGTGGGGTGTAGGTTGTTAAAGTCTCAGTGGAATGCATCCAGTGTTTCTTGGCCATGGGTCCAGATCATAAAGATGTCATTGACGTAGCGTAAGTAGAGGAGGGGTAAAAGGGGACGGGATCTGAGGAAATCTTGTTCTAAGTCAGCCATAAAGATGTTAGCATACTGTGGGGCCATGCAGGTACCCACGGCTGTGCTGCTGATCTGGAGGTATAAGTTGTCCCTAAATTGGAAATAATGCGGGTGAGAACAAAGTTATATAGGTCTGCTACCAGACTGGCAGGGGTATCCTCTGGGATAGTGTTTCTATTTGTTTGTAATCCGTCGATCCTCTGGGGTAGTGTTTCTATTTGTTTGTAATCCGTCTTCATGTGGGATGTTGGTGTAGAGAGCTTCTACATCCATGGTAGAAAGGATGGTGTTATCAGGGAGATTATCTATGTTTTGTAGTTTTCTCATAAAGTCAATAGTATCTCAGAAATAAATGGGAGTGTTGGTTGCGTAAGGTTTGAGAAGAGAGTCTACATAGCTGCATAATCCAGTAGTGAGTATGCCAATACCTGAAATGATGGGATGTCTAGGGTGTCCAGGTTTATGGATTTTGGGAAGCAGATAGAACAATCCTAGTCGGGGTTCAGAAGGTGTTTCTGTGTGGATTTTTTGATTGTATCCCTTTGGTATATATGGTCATGCCAATTTTCTTTCACAATTTGATCTGAGGAAGTGGGTCTGGCTCACAAAAGCTCATCACCTAATAAACCATCTTGTTAATCTTTAAAGTGCTGCATAGTCCTACCTTCTGTTTCAGCAAAACCGCTACATCTCTATTACCAATCTTGAGATACTTACTGATTCCCTCTAGCTCCCTGTCTCCCACCCCCTCCTTTTTTTCCTACTCCCCAACCCCTCTCCTATTTATTTTGGGTCTGCACATCCTAAACTCAAAACTCTAGTCATCTGAAGAAGTGGGCTGTGCCCACGAAAGCTCATGATACCATCTACATGTTTTGTTAGTCTATAAAGTGCTACCAGACCATTTGTTATAAGAGCATCTGTCCCTCAAAGAAAAATGGCATATTTGCTCTATGTCTTGGGGAAAAGTCATTGAACTTATTTTTTCACCTAATAGCTAAATTAGTGAGTTGGAACACAACCCTTCTCCATCCCAAACAAACACAAACTTACCACAGGAAGTATTTATTGTATCACGAAGTTCTGCATATTTCCACTTACTAAGATCATGCTTCTTAGTACCAGCTGCAGCTTTTGTGGCTTGAACAGAAGGGCCTCTACAGATATAACAAAAAAAATGATCAACTTGCAGAAGAGGAAGGAAAAGGTAAAGAAATATTAGAGAAAAGAGGATAAGCAGATTATTCAGAGATTATTGCACAATGCGCATTACATTGAGAAGCATTGTGTTCTGAGAGGGGAACGCAAAAAAAACCCCCAGAATTCACCCCCACATTCAGCAGCATAATATATCTTTATTGTATATTGACATCACTAAAAAAAAGAAATTTCAGTAGCAGTGTAATTTAGATCCAAAATCTGACTTACCTCAAATATATTTTATATGTACTTTGTATTCTAAATGTTCAATTTGCTCATTTGCAAAGAAAATAAAATAAACAAGAAGTTAAATGTGTCAGTGTGGCTTGCTGAAAATAAGGCTGTGTGTTCCACTATTCTTTTTTGCAGCACCCTTTAAACATATACTGCCACTAAAACTATGTATTGTCTTGAGGATATCAATAACAGTGATGCAGAATAAAAAGATAAAACAAGAACAAAGTGTATCTTAAATTGCACTAGTAAAACAAGGACCAGGGGAGGGAGGGAGAAAAGGGGAATGAAACTAGAAAAGAACAAAACTGAATAGGAAACATCACTATTTAAAGCTTAGAGAATGAACAAAATAATGATTACTTAATCCAAATCTACAAATGTTATAGAAGAAAAAATTAATTTGACATGAAAGTAAGTTTAAAGTTTCTCACAATAACACTTACTAACAAAAATATCACCATTAAATAACACAGATGGAAAGGCCAAGAGAGGCACACCATTCCCAGAACAAGAGCCCAAAGACACAGGACAATATAGTAATCTATGTCAAACCTGGGCAAGTGATAGAAAAAGTAAATTTGACACACAGATTGATTTTTTCAAATATATCAGTCTTCACTGTAGTATATACAAGACATATAAATTTAACACCCTATAATACACTACAGGCTGAACATCTCCGGTCCGGGACTATCTGGTCCAGCAACATCCAGGGTCTGTCCAACACATTATCAATAAATTACAACCTATACTGGAACAGGATACTACACTCCGAGAGGCTCTGGGAGACAGACCCATAGTCTCCCATAGACAACCACCTAACCTCAGGATGATTCTAACCAACAACCACAGGACATACCAAACTAATACCAATCCTGGAACTTTCCCTTGCAACAAACCCCGTTGCCAGCTTTGTTCACATTTACTCTGCTGACACCATCATTGGACCTAACCATTTCAGTTATAAGATCAAGAACACATATTCCTGTTCATCCAGAAATATAATTTATGCCATCATGTGCTAACAGTGTCCGTCTGCTATGTATACTGGACAAACTTCTCGGACACTTTGCCAAAGAATCAATGCACACAAAACAGACATAGACAGTTTCACAAAGAAAAAACAGTTTCTTGCCATTTCAACCAGAATGGGCATTGTCTCAATGACCTGATTACCCGCATCCTGCCTCAAAGAGATTTTAACCGAAGACTTGAAAGGGAAGCCTCTGAACTGTCATTCATGCTTAAATTTGACACTTTACGAATGGGCCTTAACAAAGATGCTAATAATCTTACCCATTACAAAGACAGCTTCCCCAATTATCACCTCTAATATCATTTTCTTATAGACATTAACCTCCCTCTCATCCAACCTCTGTTCTAAAATCTGATTTATCAATTTTATATATGTTCACTTTTTTTTTTTATTGTATCCCTTTGATATGTATGGTCATGCCAATTTTCTTCCACAATTTGATCTGAGGAAGTAGGTCTGGCCCCTGAAAGCTCATCACCTAATAAACCATCTAGTTAGTCTTTAAAGTGCTGCATAGTCCTGTCTTTTGTTTCAGCAAGACCAGACTAACACGGCTACATATCTATTACTATTTATTTATGAAGTAAGAAGTTCTCCAAACTCAGAGGTTAATACACCAATAAAAGTAGAAAATAGAATTATATTTATTTTAATATACTAAATTAGATAACTTCACAGAAACCACACATACATTCACTCCTCTCTCTCTCTCTCCCCAGGATTGCTCTAGCAAGATGAAGCATCTAGTTATAATAGCCCTTGGAGCAGACAGAATACTACAAACACAAATAATCAAGGGGATTGAATACAACTAATGTATGCAAACATCAGACAACTCACATGTAAATGATTAACTCTAGAGTTATTCACTCTTCAAAGAAATATCAAACCTGTTGTGACCACTGTCTGTGTGCACCTATTGACTTGTAATAACAGCCCTTGATTACATATGCATTATTATACCAGTGACAAGTTTCGTACAGAAGTTATATTCTTCATCCACTAAACAATAAAAAGCTGAGATATATACAGATAAATGTCTTCAAAATGTAATTAAGAGACAAACATAAAACATGTATAGAAAATCTCACCTGTGAAACAAAATTACCAAATGGAAGACTATTTTTAATATATATTTTAATACACTGTTAAAATATCAGCAGCATATCATTAAAGGATTTTTGTTAAACATAATTTCCACTACATAATGTCTAACCTTCCTGAACCATTAATTTGACAAATCCTAAGGATTTTCCTTATTTAGCAACATCATCTATCACTCTTAAGAATCCCCTAGGTAGTTTAGTTCAACAGAAGTAGGCCATAAGGTCTCTGGTCAAACAAGTAATCTTTAAGAAACCTTTAAGAATCTTAATCCAATTGAATGGCTTAGCCGTTCCATTATAGTACTCCTCTGTGCTGATGTCACCATTTTGTTTTTTCTACATAGCTTTAAATAGCCTGGAAGCAGTAAGAACATCATCTCATTCATAGAATTAGTCTACATTGCTGTACTCAATAATCCAAATAATAAGTATGGCCCAAAGCCAGAATGACAGTTAAGTATTAAAACTCAGACTCAAAAACTTTCCTGTAACAGGAGGTTCTTCAAGATGGGTGGTCCCTGTCTGTATGCCAACTGGGGATATACACTTGTGCACTATGCACCTAAGCCCACAATTTCTTACAAGTAGCATCTGTTGGTCCCCATAAGTGCTGCAGATCTCCTTGTGCTCCCAAGTGAGGGCATAATGGGCAGTGTGAACTGATGCTTCTCCAATTTCCCATTCTTACCAATCACACTATCCACCAACTGAGGGTGGGTAGTGTAAACCAGACAGGGACCACACATCTTGAAGAACCTACAGTTGCAGATAATCATCTCCATTTTGTCTCCAAATGATGGTCCCTACATGTATTCCTTACATAGATTAACAAGCAGAGATGAGTGTGAGAACATAGATGTCACAGCTGCCCCCACCAGGGCAGAATGTCTCATGAGAAGATATGCCAAGCACTCCAAGTGGCTATCCTATATATCTCTAGTAGAGGTATGTGTCTCTCAGATGCAGCTGGGGTAGCTTGTTCCTTGGAAAAATGATTTATTGCTTGGGAAGGAGGCACAGAGGAGAATGCCAATTAGCATAGTAACAAAGGACAACCTGAGATCCATTTCCAAAGTCTTTAAATTTATATATGTTGAGTTCTTGATTGGTTTGCGATAGAAACAAATAGCTTAGGTGTCTAACATCCTTTGTTGCATGTAGATAAAAAACCAAAGCACTCCAGATGCCCAGAGTGCAGTCTTCCTTCCTCTTCCAATGCATACAGCTTATAAAAAAAAATGCGAGTGGATGACTTGACTCTCTTGAAATTCTGAAACTGCTGCTTCTCTAAAACCCAGGATTCTCTGGTCCAGCATGACCATGGATGTTCCAGGATCAGAGAGTCCTGGCACACTGCAGGAGGGTGGGGACACAGGTGCTAGTGTGAGTCTCAGCTGGGCTGCAATGGGTGAGCCAGGAGCTGGCATGCGGTTCATTTGGACTGGGGGGAGCAGGGAGCTGGTGTGCAGCTCAGTTGGGTTGGGGTTGGAGTGTGGCAGGAAGCTGCTGCATGGTTCAGCTGTGCTGCAGGGGGAGCTAAAATTTGAGGAGGGGGCAGCAGCTGGGGGTCCAGAAATGACCTCCCCTGAGGCAGAAAAATCCCTCATCCTGGACCACACAGGTCCAACCTAGATTCGGCCACTGCAAGATCTTTTCTTTATGGACTGTAGTTTATGGTGGGCCTGCCATGAGCACGCTCAGTTCATTCACTCTTCTGGCTGACTATTTAGTTCTCCAAAAGCTCACCTTCATGGACAGCTATGTGGACAGCAACTCAAAGAGTCTTATGGTTATGGGGGAAACATTTGGCAGATGCCGCACTTAGCGGAAATGTTAGCATCAGCCAGGCATTAGAAGCAGACTCTAGATGTAAAGGATGTAAAGGAGCAAGAGCAAGAAACAGTTTTTGAACTCCCAGATCCCTGGGCAGAAACCCAGACTTCTTGTGGCGAAAAGTCTCTGGGCAGGAGAAAATAATGCTTTCTAATTATCAATGCTATGCTATAAAGACTGCAAAAAATAACTATACATAATTCTTAAAGGAATGAAGCAGTAAAAAAAAGAGCTGAGAGCACTAAAAATTATGATTCACACTAGAGATGTTAGTGACTAGTTAACTATCTGATAAGCAAGTGCTTATCCGATAGCTGAGTAGCCACTTAACTAGTCACTTCCCGCCCCCCGCCCCCCTTCTCCCTTTGCTGCCTCTATCAGAGCAGGAACTGGTGCTAGGGGGAACCAGCTTTAAGTCAGTTCCCCCCAGTACTGTCTCCGTTGGGGGACAGGCGAGGCAGAGGCACAGTGGGGAAACGGCATGAGTGGGGATAGCTTCAGTCACTGCTGGACCCTCCGGGGCTCTTGTACATTTAAAAAGCAGAATTACTGCAGGGAGCATGTGGCAAGCAGCGACTCAAGCAGTCCCCGCTCACCCTGTGTTCTCTGAGGCAGCTGGGGTGGGAAGGGAGAGATAGGGGACGCTGTTGGGAAGCAGCAGCTGTCCGCAAGTGTTCCAGCGGCAGCCAAGGCCACTCAGGCAGCTGCCATTGTCCGTGGCCATCCCTGGCTTCCATGAACAGGAGCTGGTACTGGAGCAAATCTGGTGCCATGGTGACTGCTGTGAACAGAGACTGCTCCAGCACCATCCCCTGTTCAGGGTAGCCAGGAATAGCCACGGAAAGGGGGCTGCTGCCTGAGCGGCCCCCTGTCCATGGCCAGCCCTGGCCACCGCAAACAGGGATTGCTGGACTCAGCGTGAGCTGGGACTGGGCAGTCCCAGCTTTGACTCATCGCTGTTCCGCTGCATTTTAAACGTAGTAAGAACCCAGCGGCTCTTACAATATTTAAAATGCAAAGCAGCAGCACAGGTGGTTCTGGAGCCGGCTTCTGGAGCTACAGACGTTAAACCTTTTCTCGGTAACACACACGCACACACTGCCCTGACCGACGGCTGACAGCCACGCTGCACAGCAGCTCTTACTGGCTAATCGTATAGTTGATATAAATTGCTTTTTCAACATCCTTAATTCACAGCACATGGCAGTAAGAGGCTCTAGAGAGAAATCAGCCTGCACTTGTCCTTTATGCCATCAGCTGGGAGAACAAAGAACTGCAAAGCATGTTCAGGCCAATGGATATTTCTTATAAGAAATTTCAAACTCAGGCACATAACTCACATGTGGAATAAATATAGGGATCATCTCTCAAAGTGTTTCTAAACAATGGAATTTGACAAGTGTTTACTAAAAATACCACTTTCGGCCAAAGCTCCTGTGATGCCTTCTGGGAGCTCAGGGCACGTTAACTCTGGTAACTCAGCTCAGTATTTACATAGCTACTTTAAGCCTCCCTGCCTATGTTCCCCAGGCAATTTTAATTGGATGTGCTAATTTTCTTTTTCCCTGTTCAGAAATATTGTGTATGGTGTGTTTGTGCAAATGTAAGCATCTTCTGTGCTCAATACTATCAGCACTGCAATTAAGAAATGCCTTAACAAATACATTAATCTCTTAAGATCATACACACACAGCATATCTTGTTCTGCGAAGGGCTTATTTTTAAAATGCAAAAGAAAGGAAGATTTCATGTGAATTTTAGACAGCATGTCAGAGACTGCTTTTTATCCTGGAGACTACCAAAGACAACTTTTAGTTAGTAACTCAATAAAACAGAATTATACTTCACATATACAGAAGTGTTATCCTGTATTCTCATTCATTCCTGTTTTGTCTGTGTAAAACTGCTGTATTATTATACTAAAATTGCTGCACAGACACCATCTAGCATTTTGTGTTTCAATGCTTCAGAGAGTACTACTTTTATTATTGCAACAACAAAGGAAGCCTCAAATTTTCATTTTGTTTGAAACTGAATTATGTTTGGATGTAATTTCTTATTAAAAAACTACTTACATTTAAGTTAGCATAACACTTTTGATGTTCTTAACACTATCTTGAACTTATAAGCATGCTTCCTGAAAATTTTGGAAACTTGGCAGCATCATCTCAGACACTGGAAAAAGAATACTCTTTGAAGCTCTCTCTTATCTATTTAAATTATTCAAACAGAAACCTTCAGGTGCAATTTACTGATAATTTCCTCCTGAGCATGTTTATGCAATCAAGAAAAGGTCATGGAAAAATAACTGAAAAAAGAAATCAGATAATGATTTTGAAGAGTACCAATACAGCAATTTGATCCAAAAGAAAAGGTTGATTTATTTCATTGAGTAATTAAAAATAGAATTTCATTATTTTATATAAATCAGCCAATTTCAGTTTACGATTTTGAATGATTAAATTCATTTTGGATGGTCTATTCACCCACCTAGACAAAACGTCTGACATTTCTTTGGCCATTTGTTCCCTATAAGAAAATTGATAAGTGTACGTAAGGAAAGTGCTATATTCAAATATTAATAAGGTCTTTTATGACTGATAGTACATTGCATCTAAGAGAAAGCTCATGTACGAGCAGCAAACATCAACCAAATTCTGATTTATATAGTGACAATTCCTTTGTAACGTTTGCCTCTTCATACAAGCTGGTTAAAATTCATGGTATTTGCTAGATATTGAATCTATGTACACTATTTAACTTTAAACATTTCTAAAGATATAAGTGAAGAATGAGGTATGAAATATAGTAACTGATTATCATAATGTATAATAAGGCTTACATGGGAACAGATTAATAAAGATAATAGAATTCTAAAAAGAGAATTTTTACTCTAAGAAGGTACTATAAAACTCAATGAAAATAAAATGTCATACGCAGTCATTTGAGGCCTTGTTCCATTGACTCTGAAAACAGAAGATATTTAGGTTAGTTTGGCTAATTAGCTTTCTAATAATCTGAAACATCAAGAGGGCAGTCACTTCAAGTTCTCTCTCTCCCATCCTCCTTTGATTTATCACTTAGTGACTTCTTTTTGATCCAGGCTCGGGATAATTAAGCCTTCCTCACCCCTTCTTTAATCTTCTGAATTTACTGATCAGAGTGAAAAGGTCAGTTTAAACTTTTTAAGATGGAGGAACAACAAACAATTTTTTTTATGAGGAACGAACAAAAACAAAATAAAACAACAAACAAACAAACAAACGAGAGGTCGGGGAGGAATTACTGAGCACAAAAAAAAAACGGATCGGGGTGGAAATTATTGAGCCATTTTGAACTCTGTTGTTCTCCGTGGCACACCTCCGTCTGCCTCACGGCACACAAGTGTGCCACAGAACACAGTTTAAGAAACACTGGGTTAGACCAAGTTAGAATAATTCAGAAAAGCCTTCCTCCATTTATAGAAGGTCATCCCAGTTCACCATGACTGTTTTACACTCTCACATTATGACCTGGAATTTACTTATTTATACATAACCAACTGATTTCATCTTTCTGAATCAAAGACTTGGGCATGCAACTGATACAATTATAGCATATTGCCAAAAAAAATTAAATAATTCTTACTTAGCAACTACTGGAACAGGCGGAGTAATTTCAGCATTCAATCTGTGAAAGGACACTTAGAATTGAAATAGTTTGTCATAATATAGACCTACATATCCTGAATGTACAGAAATATAGTATCAATGGTAATCCATATTGCACACCTCATTATACAAGTATACCGATATTAAATACACATATTTAGATTTCTATCCAGAAATATGCAATGAAATAACATATCCAATATGACAGATATATCCAATAAATCCAATATAACCCAAATTAAAAAGTGTTAGTATATATTTTTGTACAAGGTATTGTAAACTAGCCAGTAAATGTCAAAAGAATATCCAATAAATCCAATATAACCCAAATTTAAAAGTGTTAGTATGTATTTTGGTACCAGGTATTGTAAACAAGCCAGTAAATGTCAAAAGAATAAGAAAACAAGATGGCAATGTATGCAGTTACTTAATCTGTAACAAGTATAATACATTATGGTCCAAAGAGGAATAAGTTAGTTTTATGATTTTACAGTGCTGTGATTTTACTCAAGCATGTATTTCAGTCACACAACACATATCCTATTTTTTCTGTGATACTTATCAAATCAAGAAGATTAATACAAAAAGGGACTAGCTAGGGACTAGCTATATAAGTCCAACAAAGGACCCACTCTGCACCTTTAAGCGGGAGTGGAAGGGCTGGCTGGCGGAATGAAGCTAATGGTTCTTTACCCCTAGGGTGGCATGCTGAAAAAGATGAAAACTGCATAAAAGGGGCAGAGACTCATCACCTGGAAATGCAGGGTTTGGGTAAGGGTACAGGTCAGGGTGTGGAGCCTCCATTTTGCACAGGACAAAGCTGAGACAGGACCCACACTCCCTCCCCCTTTTTAGGTGGAAAACTTTTTAGGTGTTTGGTCAACACCCACTGTGGGCATTCAACTAGCTGCCCTTTTTTAAAGGAGTCTCAGAAGGAATTTTTCCATTACCACTATATTGTCTTGACTGCGGCTGAGGTTTTCATTTCCCCATGGTGTGTTTCAGGAAGGGTTTTGCTCATGCATAGCATGATTCAACACAGGCCATACCTTGCAACTCATTATTTAAATGTAGGATAAATGGCTTGGAAAATGACTTAAAAAGAGATGTTCACTAAAGGTACAAATGGGGGGAGGAGGAGGGAGGGATCCTACTACTCGCAGGACAGAGCGCCAAACTCCCATTCTTATAGCAGGTCTTACCCCTTTCTACAATGCTTATGTCGTTGGTAAGGTACCAACAACCAATTTGTTAGAGGAACCAAAACAGGGGAAAAAAAGGGGAGTAGGTAAAGCCCCTCACCTTGGGTCTGGTAAGGTTGCTGCAATGGATTTATTGGAGGGACAGAATTGGAAAATAGAAGGGGTGGTAAAAGCCCCTTGAGTAATTATGGAATGAACCTGAGGGTTACCACAACTGTACACTATTATCTGCTGGCTAATCCCAGACATTTACTAATGAAGTTGTGGCCTGATTAAACCCATGTCAGTGTCTCCTGTCCTTCCTTTGGCATCACCAGACATTCCAACATATAGTGTGTGTATACGGAATAAAAAAGCTGAGGCCACTGACAATGATACACTAAATATTTTTTAGGTGATGGGGAGACAGCATGATTGGGATATTCTGGCAGCAGTCATTAGTTGCTGATTTCTCATTACAATTTATAAACTCCATATTGCATGGATAAATAAGTTACAAAAGAGGAAAAGCAACTGATTGAGCAGATGTTATTCATTTTCAACTATACAGTGACAGAACATAAATATCAGAGATAACTTCCTATGGGATAGGATGGTCAATGTGTGTAAAACAAACAAAAATGTGCTCCTTCGAAACAGAGCATAAAAGCATATTGTCATGTGGCTTTGGTTAAAAAAAGCTCCTAGTGCTGATTATTAAGTACTCCAAAAGGATCATAGTTCTATGAAAAAAAATATTTTTGCTCAGATCTCAATGCAAAAGTAAAAGAAAATTGTTTGCGGATAACCATGCAAAGTAATGGAAAGAAAGGCTGTGAGGCTGATGTGCTGAGGCTGAATGCATGATGCAACAGTAATTTTGAACATGGTGTGCAGGAGGGGAGAGAAAGAAAAGTAAACATTACAGCAACGTTAACCTGTGCATGTTGCTTTGTGCAATTCTACTGCCCCAAAGAAAACCACAAAAGTATTAGGCTCTGCTAAAATTTTTAACAAATATCCACTAAGCAAGAATGATCAACTTCTCTCTGAGAACTATTTCTATGCAACACTTCAAATTTTAAACCTTTTCCTGCATTCAATATGACTAAAATGCCTTGTGTGGATTTGTGTAAAAATAATTGTTTTAAACGCCGAAATAGTTGCTGAACAGTTTCAATTTAGACAGAACACAGTTTCCACAACTTTTATAAATAAGTTTTCTAGATATCTAGACACGAGCAATTAGAAATTAAATCGGTTTGTCAATACCTGAAAAAATGTTATAAGGTGGCACACTGGTTTCTTGACTGTATTTACAGCTGAAATAACCTGAGAAAGGATTCACACACAATGGGAAATAAGATGGACAGTTTTATGAAGTGTTGTAAAAGCTTCCTGCGCAAAAGGTTTTTTGGTTTTTTTTTTTTTTTAAGCGTAGTTGCACTCACTTATACCCTGTGCCTCAATAATGTTGCTAGGATTGTCAATGTGTAGATAACTACATGATTAACTGATAAACCTAGACTTATTCATTAATCTTGTCAACTACATGCATCCTCCCCCTCTTGTTGCCTCTATATTAGAGGCAGCAAGGGGTGGGGAGAGCAGGAGCTGGTGCCCGAGAGGAGCTAGCTTAAAAGCCATCTGCATACGAGCACCAGATCCGCCTGCCCCTCTGGAAGGAACAATCAATTCCTCCTGCAACCTGCTTTCCAGCAAGAGGAGGAGATAGCAATTCTCCTGCCACCATCTGCAGCCTGCTGGCCATGCAGCCATTCCACACCAGATTCTGGACTTTGGATAGAGAACTGACCTACTGGCACCTGTGCCCAAGGGGTTCAGGATGTAAAAACTGCTGGCACAGTTCCAGAAGTGAGCAGCTAGTTAGTGCCTATGCAGCAATCTCCAAGGAAGACCTGCTTGCCCCCACCAGTCTCCTGACCACTCAAGCCAAAAGAGAAACCTGCATGAGTACTCCATTATAGTGAGAGAGTTACATTTTAATCTTGTATCATTACAACACTTTTATCTGCAAAAGGAATTACAACTGCCTGTATCAGCAAGATCTACACTCTCAATTTCTAGTGTAATAAAGCATGCGTCTAGCGGCATATCCTTACAGGCTTGCAGTGTCTCCCCACCACACCAGCTGCACACCAGCGATATGAAGGACAGACAGAACAGAAAGCAGAATTTTTGGTTTGGGGAGCATGTGGTCATTTGCTGGCTGGAATAGTTTTTAGTACTATTATTCATAAATTTCAATCAGTCAGTATTCTTATCAATTATATATATATATATATATATATATA